ACCATACTTACAAATATATTTTTTTTTATTCGGGAGTTTTTCAGTAAAAATTAACTATCATCAATATTTGAATACTTTTAAAAAATAGTAATTTCCTCTGTCACCGTTATACGTATAAAAAGATCCATTCGTACTAAACCGACATGGATTTGTGTTGTTTGTATAATAGTGATGGGACAGGTAAACCGCATATACACACTAGTAAATACTAAGCTCATATTATGTCTTATCTGCGTGTGTTATTTTTCATTCCTTTTGCCTATTCGAGCAAATGTCCTCAAACCGTGCATAGATATTCGGTCATACATTTTAAACTGTGTTCAGTAGAGTATGTCGCATATAACGAGGGGAAAATTGAATATAGGTGCACGCTCGTCGGGCGAAGGCCGAAATGTCGAATAGAGACGCGAATCCCCCTCCCCCCTCCTCTTGGATAAATACATTCAAATAACATGTGAACACACAATAGTATTACTATGCTAAACAATAAACGCGAACTGCCTGCCTTATTTGGCCGAATCTTCAGGGTGGTATGCTGCACCTAGATTTGTTAACTTAACTGTATATACTTGTTTTCCTTCCCGCTTAAGCGATATTTTTTTTGGTAGATACTTTAGTTTTTTTGTTTTCTTTTTAACGTAAAAAACATACCTCCGGTGACACGCAGTAAATAAAAAAAACACCGAATTTACATACATAGTGTGTTATATTATTTCGCATGCGACTCGCGTAAGAGGGTTGTAGTTGTAATATTTGCTCTCGTTGCGATACAGTGTATGATAATATTATGCCACAGTCTATCATGTAAATGAAGCAACTGACTCGTTAAAGTTGCCAAGTCGATGACATCATTTCCGATAGAATTTGACTTGGTATTGCTTGCTTTAGGGAATACCATTAACGCAGACGCCAATAACGCCATTAATCGACATTTCCTACGGGTAATTACATAATTATTCCTAGAGGTTTTCATTAACCATTATTTACACGGCTCCACATAACAGCCCATGACCGTTCGGTAGAAATAATTTGATCAAATTAAATAAATATAATAGCTGCATTCGACGCGATAAACTACAATAATATAATACTTGGTAATAATTATATAAAAACGTTATTATGTTATTAGAAAAAAATAATTATAGTTGTTCTCGAACATACATTTAATAAAAATACTTTAATAATATTTTACAATAATAATATTATCGAGGCGATGAAATTATATTTCATATAATGATTAAAATATGGAATTTAATAATTTCAATAAAAACGATTTTATAAAATTAATAAGTATTGTCTATTGTACTTAAAATGTACAAATTAAATAATTATAAATTTGATAGATATGTCACTTGTCATTACAAATAATTTATATGAACAATATGTATAATGTCTACCAAGAAGACTCTACCCATTTCACATAAATAAATTAATATTATAGGCTTGATAAAAAGTTAGAATTTTTATTAAAGTGATAGTAATGAATGAATATAACATGACCTTCAAGTAGAATTAACTTTAAATAATATTGATATCTTTCATTTATAAAAAAAAACGTTCGGAAAAGCGTAGTAACTGCGATAAAAAAAAGAACAAGTGCCACTGCATGGTTTTTGAAATAAATAATCAACAATGTTTAATCGTGATTAAATATTTCAAATCACAAGATACCCTTTACTCTGATTTAAACTTGTGTGTCATGGTTATAGAGGTTACACCGTTTTCCATAATATTTAAGATGTTTGAACTAATATAGTTTGGGATAGTAAACACCCTCGTGCATTATGTAAGACTCGTGTGCGATCAAACGTCCCGGGAGAGTGATAATATGCGCAGGAAGTAGAGGACTATCATTACTATCATTGTTGTAGTAGTTAAACGAGGGGCGAAGCCTAAAGCGCAATCCCGATCGCGAGTAAATCAAAACGTTAGCTCTGTATGTGTATCTATACTTATAGACTGCGCATTATCTCGGTTAGGATTTGCCGAAGAATAGTTCGCTCGCACGTATATACATTATTATCATTGTGTGGCGTTGAAACCCCAAAACGGTCGTTTATCCGCAAAACAGGAAGGGATGCGCGATCGTACGTGTATCGACATATAGTAAAAAACAAAATAAAAATAAATACAAAATTCGTTTATACGTGACTCGAATGGCCGGTTGGAGGTTAAACCGGCGACGGACAGCTGCAGCTGCTGTGCTTTACGCTGGCAACATTCGTCTTATGCGCCATAACTAATTTCGGTGAAAGCCCAAACTTATGGTGTTTAGACATAGGGCTCCCGCAGCAATATAATATGTGTTTCTGGTATACGGTGTGTTGAAACGCCAGTGTCGGCCGGCCGAGGTTTACCGAGGAAATTTATCGCACATAAAGATCCCCTCTGCCGTTTTGAAACTTTGAATTATTGAACAACACCGCCCCCGCCCTTTGTATAGGTTCTTACTGCCTGCGGTAACCGCCAAGCTCGGTTACGATTTTTCGTCCCTATCGCACCAAGAAAATTCTGTAGACGGCACGAAAGAGTGAATAGTCGTTAGAAGAGTGTGTTGAGGGTAAAAAAAAAAAAGACTGCACGTACACGAATCGTCCCAAAGGGAACCGTCGTGTCCATCATCGTTGCCGGCAGAACGTCCCTCGGGGAATTCCCCAGAACGCATGTCGTGTGTGTATATAAATATAGTAATAACGTTTTGTGAACATCTCGTCGAATTTCGATCGAATAATTTTATTGTAGTCGAGCAAGAAGAGGGTCTTAGGTGCAGGGCACGTTGTAAGCAATTAGAAGAAAACGTCTTGTCATTCCGCTGTCGGTTCTATATTGAGTTATGAAACTTACATCTCCCCTTCCATGATTGGCAGCCGCCGCCGGACATTTTTCGACCGAGAAAACGCGTAAAGCCACTTTAAACCGACCGAAAAAAAACTTTCTACGTACAACAAACAGGCCACATTAGCTGGCTAACCCGACTTTTTACTTAATACGACTCCAAAAGAAGAACGCGAGAACTTAAGAACTTCTTCGAAGCTATAATGTCTAACTTCTTGTCCCGGATAACCCAACGCTACCGCTTGCACAGACCTTATATATATATATATATATATATATATATATATATATATATATATATATATATATATATATGCCGACCCGATAGTGGCGCGAAGCTAAGTAAAAACAAAAAAAGTGTAGCGCTACGTGAAAACATTGTATAAAAAGCAGAGCATTGCCATTTAAACAAAATATCGTTTATTAAAAAGCAACAAAATCGAATTTTCATTCAAACTTTATCACGTGAGCAAGAATTTGATCAGACTGGTTAATAATAATATTATGTGTAAGCAAAGACGTGAGTTGTGTGTTTTAATAACGAACATCTTACTTTACTCGGTGTTTTCATTAGAATTAATTAATAGCCGCCAAAGCGTAAATCAAATTAACTTGTCAGCCGCCGCAATAAATAATCAGGACGGGTATATATAGTTCCAAGATCGTGTTAACACCTTCTACGCAACAGGTAGAATGATTATAATTTTTTAAGGAAGTGCACGAAGGAGTGGTTGCTGTCGTTTACAGTGTGACGATGGTCGCGTGTCAACGTGCCGTAACGGTTTCCCTTTTTTTCGCTTTTCGGTATTTTTTCAATTATGAGTTGCGTAAGAGGACGATAAAATTAAGTACACGGAATTATTTATGACTCACGTTCCAATAACGATATTATACTTTGAATTTAGTCTTGGTATATTTAATTCATTTATTTTTAAAAAATTATTTTGGCTGATCCACCTTTATAAGCATTTTCGGTTGAAAAAAAAAAAATTAGGTTATCCATACACGACCCACCGATGTAAATCTAATTTTAGAAAAAAATATTTGTATTTATTATATATTTTTTTTAACTGAATCAGTTAACAACAGCCTTAATTCTATAATTTGTTTATAAGGCAATGTGGTATTATTTAAACATAAAATGTACACAGTATTCACACTTGAAACAATTCAATTACAACTCAAGCTTATTTCATAATGTACATTCTATGGGAGCGAGGCTATTGTGCGTTCAATTTGTAGGGGTATCATTGGATTCTCTCCAGAGACCGGACTTTGATAATAATCTTAATTGAAGTACGGAATTTACTGTTTGCCGAGTGAAGAGTAAGTCAACTGCCAAAACAATCTAGTGGAAAAATTCCTTATTGATTTGTTGCTGTGGGGAATGCAAAACTGACTGTCGTTCAATAATAATTCTACTTGGAGGAATGCTTATAGGAATAAGGAAATGACCGATTATAGTAAAAAGTGAATTCGTATACTATATTATAATTTACCTAATACGAATACTCTCACTTAAATTTATTGTTATAATGTATTGTTTATGCCTAAAAATTAATAAAATATTATTTAGTTTATATTGTAAAATACATTTATTTTTTGAAAACTTCAGAGGCTAATAATGGTACCTCTGATACACGACCTTTATTTTTAAAAAAAAGTATTGTATAAAGTGTGTTATACATTAGAAGAAAATGTTATTCGGGATTAATTTAGATGTTTCAGAATTTTTTATTTTTACATTTTTGCATATAAGCATGTAGTTGTTTCAAAACGGAAATAATACATTTCTTTTTATTGAACTTATTGGTTATATTGTCAAACAAATTTAAATCTCTTTCGGAGTTATAGAAACACCGTTTTGTGTTATTTTTAAATTTTCGAAACATTTTCTAAAATACAATGTATTAAACAGATTTTGTATTCTTTTCAAATGTCCTTGATACATCCAGAATAGGTCTTAGAATTTATGTACAATCTGCAGTTTATTCAGGACATTTGGCACGTCATGTTTTTATTATCACTTAAAAATATAATATCTTTCCTGCTCTGGTGATCGTTTGTTACGATTGATTGAAACGATCGTTATCGGAAATTGAAATCGATTTAACTATGTTAGCTGCGGTAAAATAATGTTTATCGATGGCGTTGGTTGTTTACAGGAGTATGTGGAGTCCCGTGCCAATAGCCGGCAACAACAGCATACTGCCGACCAGATCCAAACATAGCGCCGCTGTGCACGGCAACCATATCTACGTGGTCGGTGGTCGGAACGGCAATTGGCCCCTGAAAGACATATGGAGATATGACTTGGGTAAGTACGGGCGAGCCCGGAATATAAATTGTCTACTACTAATTTCACATTGACGTGCCGCACAACAATCGAATAATAATCACTCGCGTGATAAATATGTGCTACGTGACTTTCTACCCTTAGGTTTGCTTAATGAATTACAACGGATGCGAGAGCAACGCGTATCAACCCAAAACGAACCGACTTTATAGATTTTCTTTTTCTTTTAGTTGCCAGGCAATTTTTTCATACTAATATAAATATTAGCCGTTTTTTAGTAGAGTGTATTTACAAATGGCTGTTGTAGCTGATTGATATTATACTAAACTACAAGGTAGATCCGTCGCTTATTTTTTCACTCTCCCCGGTTACTAACGGGGGAAAAAAAGATACCATCGTTCATCGTTGTAATACGAAAACGTAATTCTTCATATAAAACATTACCGGAGCTTATTTTTTGAGTAGTATAATAAAACACTTAGTATCTACGACGAGGGTTAAAGCGTTGGAGTTTTTAGTAAATAAATATTTTTTTTTATGGTGCATTATACTTAAGGTTGTAAAACCAAGCGTCTTCATCGTTTTCTGAGTAACGTCGACGCGGCAGCGAATTGTAATCATATTTTGAAACAAAGTTGCACATTATAACGGTTTCTAACTAACGTTCTACGCGATGCAAATTTATGTAAATTGCTCAGTTGATCGTTACTCAGTGCATGTATTGGTGAAATTATCATTTTTGCTTCTATGTATGTAAGTCGAGAGTATACGGAATATTTAATCCGGAAAGGCAGTGTAAAACGGAGTTCAAAACAATTTAGTACTTCCTCAAAAAGTTAAATTTAAACAGTTATGGAAGTATGAAATAAAGAATAGTATTATACAAATTTGTCGAGTTCTAACGGTAGTTATTTTAATATAACTGTTAAAATTTTAATTACAAAAAAACAAAGCTCTAGAACTTTTTAACTATGCTAGCATATAAAAATAGTTTTTTCCATTAAACTGACGTAAAAAATCTCATTACTAATATTATTATCACATTTTGGTGGGAAATAAATCCGCACAAACGTAACTCAAACTTAACCTTTCAGGGTACCTTCGGGAATTAAAGGGTGTAACTGATGTACATACGTTTTTGCTTTATAATACACATTGAACTTTCAACCGTATTCACGGTGATCGGACCGTCGACCGTGTATTACCTGCAAGATATAATATTTTTTTACACTAGGTGATTGATTTTTATTGGAAAGTCCTATCGAGGAAAATATGTAAATACGTGTCCAATATCCATTTATGGATCTATATTTTCAAAAGACGCGGATTCGATATAATATTTTATAAATGATAATATAGTGTGGCCTTTCGTTTATTTTTTTTTCTTTCATTTGTTTGTAGTCAGCAACACCTGGGAACAGTTGCATCCGACAGGAGATACATTGCAGAATTTGCAAGAGCACACCGCGGTCGTTTATCAAGACAAGGTGTATGTATTCGGCGGAGAAGTGGGGTTTTCGTCTGCCTCCGAGTCGCCGTTATGGTCTTATAGCACCAAGGTATGTTTATACATATTATATGAGTATGGATAATAAAATATACAATACTTGGCAGACAAACGATGCGACGTGAGCGTAGCGCGGTATACAAATCGTTTTGATGAAAAAACGCAATTTTCAACGTGCGCTTGTTTGAATATAATATTCGCAGTATAATAGATTTCAGTTTGTTGAAACAAGTTCAACAGTCAACGGGTCACTTAACATATTGTATTATCGGTATTGTACTCGAGTTTGCCAGAGTGCTATTTTTTGAATACTATGATTGTTTGGAATGTTCAACCAATAGTTGCATAATAACATTTAAGTACATCTAATAATTGTCCGTGCAAATAAGTCTGATCAAACGATTTTTTTGTTTAAAGTATTTGCTAATTATATAGTAAGCCTTGGTTAACTAAGCTGCATACTAGAAATGCATAAAAAAACCAAACCACCTATCACCACGCCTGTATACAAGCCTGTTAACAATCACAAATTGATCATAATTGATAAAAACTACAGTATATACATACTTACAATATTTTACTTATATTAAAATATTATATACCTATGTTATCTTTAAGCAGTTATATAGTCCATTATTTTGCGCCAGCCAATTTAGTTCTGAATCTCTTCTTTTCTACGACTACGATCTTTATTAGTCATTATCACAATTATTTTGTTGTCCTTTCTTATCACATACCTATTCACTGCCTAACTCTAATCCATATACAACACTAGTTGATATTATCCTTACAATTGAACTTGTATAAAAAATAAATATCTAATGTAACTTATATTCTTTAAAAAATTGTACTTTACTTTTCTATCGACTCTCATGTTAGGTTAGATTAAATATTTATACAAACGACTTAAGTATTATTTTTTTACCTATTAGTAGAGAAAGTATAATTGTTTTAATTTATGGAAAAAAAAACTACCAGTTCTTCAGTTGAAATAAACAACAATAGCCTATTAAATGGAGTAGAAGCTCTACCCGTCATCGTCTTTAAACACAAAAAGAGTTTTCAGTTGTGCACATAGTAACATATTTTTTTATTCTAGCAACCTTGAGAAAATTAAAAGAATCAAAATGTAAAAAAAAAATAACTCGGTAAATTATTGATAATGCATTTCTTTAATATAAATAAAATAATATTAGTAATGAAATGAGTTTTTTATTAAGTGTGAATAAATAAATAAACAGATGAATAAATAAATAAATAAATAGATGAATAAATAAATAAATAAATAAATATAGATATTCGTATATGGTTTATACTTTATCACATTAAATGTTTATGAAGCCACTTGTGGTCGGTATTCCTGTGATTGGCAAACCCCTACCCAGGGTCTGCATGTAATTTAATTGCGACTCCAACTGAGCTTGTATGTTAGATTGTAATTGGGCTGCAAGAGCCGGGTCCAATGGCAGGTTGGGTATTTGGACCATGAGTTGGTTGTAATATTCTGATCCTTGACACATCAAATTGTTGAACAGTTCTCTCATATCAGCCATGTTATGGACGAATCCGTCCAGAGAGTCGGCAAGTACGGCATCGTAGTCCGGGTTTCCACTCAAACTCAGATCGTTCATATACTCGGTGATCCTTTCCATGTTCAAGGCTGATTGAGTGATTTGCGAGATGGCGTTGGCCATGGTGCTGGCCATATTCTCCGCGGTAGCTACATCATACGAGTATTCAACACTAATACTATCGGCATTGACGGCGGTTCCGAAAAACGCGAGCAAAGATGTGAAGATGATGAAACGGTTCATGTTTGTAAGATTGGTGTTGTCGTTTATTAGTATTGATGAAAATAATTAAGCACTGAACAACGATGATCGGAAGACTACATGAAAACACGATTTCCGTGGGACATTTATACCAGTTGTGCTCTATCCTCGGGTAGTTGATTCAAGTGTTTTCATATCCAGAAACACCGGACAAATTCGAGTAATGGCTTTTTGAATTTACTTATCAGACATTAATTGTCAACAACCAACGATATTAGTACATTTTTTGTTTGCTTAGGCTATAACAATTAAGGTAGACATCAATCGTTAATACTTTTTATTAGAATTATTATTACCTATTGTACCAGAACGTAAAACCCACGAAAAAAAAACTTGTAATTACATTAATTTTTTTTGCAACGGCCGAATTCATAACTGACATTCGCAACTTGTTTACACTATTTTTATTAAAACAAAAACGCTAATAATTATTATGCGTTGGTAATTACTAAGTCAAGTTAGTTCGATAACAGTGTAAATATTTAATCAAACAGCCTAATTTCATCAAAACAACATATAATGTGTGTTGTTACATCATTATGTACTGCTTCACGTATTAATTGTTTTTTAATACAATTTATGTATAGCAAACAATATTCAAAGACAAATTTCAAACTTGTTATTTTTTTGAAAATTATGCAAATAGTTTTTTTTGAATCATGAATAATTTTCATCATATACGATTATAAATATTTTCGTAATATCTTATAATTAAATTGTTGACGTGGTAGTTGGCACAATACAGATACAATTAATTATTGTTCACATTGGTTATTGTTTAGAAATGTTTTTAATACTTTAAGGGTCATAAATAATTTGGCAAATTGCTATTTTAAAAATGCAATTTGATCAGAGGCTTTTGAAATAAAAACACTTGAATCAACTACTCAAGGGTAGATAGAGAAAAATACAGACAAACAGGTATAAATACTCAACAGGTATCGTATTTTAACTATAAATCGTCATTTAGTGTTCAGTGCTCATTTAATCAGCTCTAAAAACAACGACATACACCAAAATCAAAATGAACCGTTTCATTGTCTCCGCCATTGTGATTTCGTTTTTGGTAGCCGCCGCCAACGCCAACGATTTGGATAGTTACATGTCAACTGCGGAAAGCATGACCAACTCCTTGACCAGCGCCGTACCGCTCATGGCGAATTCAGCCTTAAACATGGCGAAGATCAACGAGTACATGAACTACATGAAATACGGAGGACTGCCGCTACCCAATATACCCTATGACGACTATCTGAAAAACTTATTCAATGACATGGCTGCCATAAGAGATCTATACAACAAACTGATGAACCAGTTTTCGGATTATTACCGTGATCTCATGAACGGAATACATTCGTTGCCGTTAGACACGCTTCTTGCAGACAAATTGAAAGCTGACATGACCGCTCAGATGAAATTACAGTCTGATTATATGAGTACCGTTGGTAAGTCCATGACCGAAAAAGCATTAGATTACATGGGCTACACACGTTAATATATTACAAAATCGTTACTGACATCTGATTGTTAATTTTTACTAAAAGCTCACTTATATTTCATTTTTTTTGCACTAAATAAAAATCCATATTCAATCATACAATGTTTTTATTTATTAATATATACCTACATAAATATCGATGAATAATATATATATATATATATTAATCCTTCTCATTATCCTAAGAGAAGTATTGTTCTATGACACTAACTGTAATAATTGATGACTTGTGTAAAAAAAAAAATGTTCCGTTAAACATAAAATTATATTTTATTTTGGGAATATCAAGTCATAGTAGAAACATATTAGTATGGGTGTAGGTTCTTTATTTAGTAGGGTAGCGATTATTACTGAATTTATTACAGTAAATAAGTTCGTAGTTGCATGTTTTAGTGTTTGTCTCGAAGACAAAAATGTGTTACCTACCACCTTTGTAGAAAGTTAAATAGTTAAAACCGTAAAATACTTCATTCAGTCTATTGAATGGTACAATTACAAATATTAATACAAATCATAGGCTTATAAAGTTTTATAAAAAATAATGTACGTAAAATAAAAATTAATGCTAAAAAATCATAATAAAAATATTTTCAATATGATTTTTGGTAAATGGAAGACATACCAGCTAACTTTGACCTTCTTAAATTATTTTAAACAAAACTGACAATTATATAAGTATAGCTGAATCTAAAAAATATTTGACTCAAATACCTAATTGAAAAAATCAAACATTTGGTTCCTATTATAGTAGACGTGTTTTTAATCTTTATAAAGGCCAGATTTAAAAATATTTGTAGAATACACACCATACTATAGTCGTTATACCATCGATTAATTCGTCGGGTAGCATGCATTTGTTCATCAGTGTTTGTATTACGGCTTACACTATTAAATATGTTCTCTACAATCAGAGTTGTGCAATATTCGAATAAAACGTTATCTAAATAATCATTTAGATAACTTGTATTCAAGTAAATATTATTCGAATAATTTCAAAAATTATTATTCAAATAATAATAAGCAAGTGCTTTTTTTAAGTAATTGTATTTAAAAACATTATTTCGTATAAATATAATAATATTATATACTACATTTACAAAATATATAAAACCAGTATTTATATATAAGCAAATTCGAATAAGAATTTGCACAACTCTGTCTACAATAAATTACTAAAAATATGTTATTTATGTATTATTCAAAATTATATATTTTTTTAACTATTATGCTTTTTTTATTGACTGATATGTTTATAAAGTAAAAACGAATCCTATATCAACGACGATATAATCTGCAAAACACCCTCAAGTCAAAATCCATCATAAAACGCTTGTCGCTCGTAATAGCTTGTAGTCGGGCATTATTCCATTTGAGTAATATTTCTGCCTTTTCTCCTTCTTTCCCTCTCTCCTCAACGGTGTTTTTTTTTACATTCTCTCCATCCTCCCCGATCCAAAGGAAAGCAATAAAAATTGCACTCGACGTTTAACATCTGAGAAGAACGGAAGTAGACTTTCTTGCCGCCGCCATTGCCGCCGTACGACAGTCTAATCGATTTATCCAACGACATTGTTAACTGCCTTGGGTTTTTGACGTACTCACAAGACACGAGGCCGTTTTATGAATATTTCTGTCAGATCCCAGGAATGTCAAACACTTTAAGCGCTATTATTATCAAGCACAATTACTCTTTAGTCTCCTGTCTATATAGCTTGAATTCAAATAGAATACTTAAAATATATATTTTATTTATTTATATTATAGCTAAGCCTATAAAATATCTTAACTCTACTCCCTCCGAGTCACTATTAATCTCTCAATCTCTATTAGCATAGAAGTGATAGGTAGGTAGATATATTTGCCGTTATAGATAGATTAAAAACTGGTAATTTATGATATGCTCAGTAACCCACTGGATAATACCCATCTTAGCTATCTAATTATACAACTTGTACACGTAAAACCAAGTACCGCGGGTACTAACCTTTTGAAACTCATCCATGTCTTGCTCGACTTCAAAAAATCGTAAATTTTTCGAAAAAGCTCGGCATTGCTAGTTTAAGTACTTCGGGAGAGCAATAAATGTGAATGTATGAACGTAGAAAACGGTGTATACAGTATAATATGGATGGGTGATGGATGTTTATTTTTATTTCCTGTCATAAGAATAATCATAAAAATGTGGAACATTAAATTTAAGTTGCAATCTTTTAAACGACGACAAAGCAGCAGCAGCGGTACTTTAAAATATGTATTTGAACATTTAAATGAATAATATGTTTGAAATGTCAAGAAAAGAAAATATTAAATAAATGTTTTAAATATAAAATAAATAAATTAAAAATACGAAGAAAGTTGAAGTAGAAATAAAAATAAAATCGGTAACTATAATTATTAAAATAACAAATTTAAGCATATTAATCATGCAGCAGTTTAAATGAAATTTTCATCAATCACAAATCATACTAATATATTAATTTAAAAAATATTTTAGTATAATCAAGGGTAACTAGAGAATGATGCTAAGTGCTCCAGCACAGTTCAATGTTGTCTAAATTGCAATTTAAGAAGTTGAAAATTGTAAACTATTATTCGCAATAGAGTAAAATGTTTGCTCTATACAATTGAAAATGTCTAGCAAGTGCCACCACGTCTTGATAAATTATAGGGACGGTACAGGTGGGATAACTTTATACAGGTTAACTGCACATGCCTAGTTATAAGTATATTATAATATGACCTCTAATTTTCTTACTAAAACATTAACTTTGTTATTGTACTTATTTTTGAATTTGTTATCTTTGTACAAATTTTGAAGAGGAAAGAGGCTAAAAAAAAATTATACACATTCTATAACCCCGTCTGTTGCTACCAAATTTGTTTCTTAAACCAATACATATTACTGATGATTACATAAATAAATAAATACAGTGCATATTATAAGACTATTGACATTAATTGAAAAATAATGTTAAGATAATAAAGTTTTATGATACAGAAAAAATATTACAGGTAAATACTTAATATTAAAATAAAATTTAACATGAATGAACAAAATTAAATGTATCAAATATCAATTAATTCATCGTTGCAGCAAATATAATGGTTAGCTCGTACCTTAAACCAAATACGAATTAAATAAGAATTATAAATATTTATTGATATTTATGTAGGTATATATTAATAAATAAAAACATAATATGATTGAATATGGATTTTTATTTAGGACAACAAATGAAATTCAAGTGTTTTAAAACAAATTTTCAATTCGATTTTAGTAACGATTTTATAACATATTAACGTGTGTAGCCCATGTAATTTAATACTTTTTCGTACATGGACTCACCAATGGTACCCGTGTAATCAGACTGTAATTTCATCATGTCAGCTTTCAATTTGTCTGCAAGAAGCGTGTCAAACGGCAACGACTGTAATCCGTACATGAGATCACGGTAATAATCCGAAAACTGGTTCATCAGTTTATTGTATAGATCTCTTATACTAGATTACTAGAACAATACTTATCTTAGAATAATGAAAAGGATTAATATATATATATATATATACTATTTACATATTCATCGATATTTATGTAGGTATATATTAATAAATAAAAACATTGTATGATTGAATATGGATTTTTATTTAGGGCAAAAAAAAATGAAATATAAGTGAGTTTTTCATAAAAATTAACAATTAGATATCAGTAACGATTTTGTAATATATTAACATGTGTAACACATGTAATCTAATGCTCTTTCGGTCATGGACTTACCAACGGTACTCATGTAATCGGACTGTATTTTCATCTGAGCCGTCATGTCGGCTTTCAATTTGTCTGCAAGAAGCGTGTCAAACGGCAACGAATGTATTCCGTTCATGAGATCACGGTAATAATCCGAAAACTGGTTCATCAGGTTGTTGTATAGATCTCTTATGGCAGCCATGTTATTGAATAAGTTTTTCAGATAGCTGGCAAAAGGTATATTGGGTAGCGGCAGTCCTCCGTAATACATGTAGTTCATGTACTCGTTGATCTTTGCCATGTTTAAGGCTGAATTCGCCATGAGCGGTATGGCGCTGGTCAAGGAGTTGGTCATGCTTCCCGCAGTTGACATATAATAATCCAAAGCGTTGGCATTGGCAGCGGCTACCAAAAAGTTAATCAAAACGGCGGAGACAATGAAATGGTTCATTTTGATGTTGGCGTAAATAGTTGTTTTTAGAGCTGATTAAGTGAGCACTGAACAACGATTGTCAAGTAATTATACTCGAAATACGATATCTGTGGGGGTATTTATACTAGTAAACCGGTATTTTTTGACCTTGAAACACATATCCTATAAATAATACTATTAAAAATAATAATTTTATTTAAATAATTAAAAACTTTATTACATTTTCACAAAACAGTGGTCAATATAAATATATTACATTAAAAAGCCTGGATTATAATGACAATATTTAAATTATAGGTTATGAATTCTAAAGATTATATGTGGTTTTCATAACAATGCTGTTGAGTATTTTAACACTTTACAAACGATAAATACATTTAAAAATGAATTATTTTAATTTGCAAATTTGACCTCTGACAAAAACACTTGAATCAACTACCCAAGGATAGAGAGATATACCGGCTAACTTGCATAAATATTAAATACTATACAGATACCGTAGTTTGATTATAATTATCTGACAGTCGTTGTTCAGTGCTTATAGAGCTCTAAAAACAACTTCCTACACCAACATCAAAATGAAAAGTTTCATCGTCTACGCCGTTTTTATTTCGTTTTTGGTAGCCGCCGCCAATGCTATTAAAGCATTGAGCAGTCCACAATAGAAATAATAATTGAATCAATGATTGCAGAAACGAGAAGAGACAATTTTTTAAACATAAAATTGGTATACACTCAACGGGTATAAACAAATGACTAGAACGTTTTCCTTAAAAAACACAATTTTATAAAAATTGACGTTTCTGCAATCATTGGTTCGTATGTTCTTGTTATGTTCTGTGTATATACAAATGTATATTTAAAAAAATTGACTTGTGTTGTTTCTGCAACTATTGATTTAATTCATTGTAAAAAATGGTGAAATTCCGAAAACCCTTTAAGACCTCTGAACCGACTGCGCATTATGAAACCCGTACAAAGTTTTCAATTAGTGTCAAGGATTAACCTGAGTTTAAATAGGTGTACGTTGTTTACTATAATTATATTACTTTTGAAATAAATTTCCATTTCATAGTAGGGAAATCTGTGTCTCTTATTAAATTTTTGAAACGAAATCACGTCAAACTTTTTTACTGATATAATGTATTCTTCGCACGTCTTTGTTTGGAAAAAAGTAGAAGTTTCGCTATACAGAGAATAATAAGTTATTGAGTGAAAACCCTTAATGTACAAATAAAATATAACCGTTTCAGTATTTTTTTTTTTTTAAATTATAATAAGATCTGTCATTCAGTGTTTTTTTTTAGGTTTGGGTCAGTTTTATTTTAAAATATTATATTATTCTAAAAATGTAATAAAACGAAATTACATTTTTTGTACGTTAAGCCTTTTCGTTGCTATTCTCCCCAATAAACATTTATTATTATAAAACAGTTTAAATATTTTATACAATTTAATTTTTTTTTTTATAAATATTATTTTAATTTCCTTTAATTATTTTAAGTATATATACAGCAATTTTAAAAATTACATCACAACAAAAGGTGCTGATAATAAAATATATTTCCGGAGATTTATAACGTTACAAAGATTTGGCCAAAAAGTTTTTCCAAGGAACATGAGATTTTTGGATAGGATATTATTTATTTATATATGGAGGTCCTCGTTTATATTTACCGCTCCTATTGCTGAGCTTAGGATTTGCCGAAATAGGGTACGGTAATGGTCACTATAGAATACTACAGCGATGTACTGTATTCATAGCCATATATAGTGACTTAAACCTTTAACTTAGATTTATAGTGTAATCATACTTGAATTTTTTATAAAAAGGTTCGGTTACTTCCGAATGGATATACAAGATAATAGTATTCGATATAATGGACACAAGGCGTATTATATTTAGCGTGTTTAAAAAAATGTTTTAAAGTTAATACCGTTTGACAATTTTAATTATATTTTAGTTAATCAAAGCGGTCATTTGGATTTAATTAAGACGAATGATTGATATTTATGGACATTGGACGGCGATTAAGAGGTAGATAATCCCCACTAATGTTTAGATTTTTTTAAAAACGAATACAAAATGAAAAATTATGCTTGAGAGTTATCTGCATTTATTACAAACGACTTTTAAAATTTCAGAGAGAATTAATGTACTTCCTTTTATATCCGCTATGGCAATCTGAGTCACGGACAAGTGCACGAATCACACCCAAAGTTAATGGTGCGTAAGCCGATACGACAGTGTTTGTTCACCGTCAACAAAGTCGATCATTGTAATTACTAACAATTATTAAATATACAACTAACTGCGACTTTAAACTAAGTAATTATTTTGTCCCTCTGCTAAACGATATAGAATACGAGCAGCAAGCTATTCTGTTATGGATACCATTTGTGAAAAATCGCACATTCCACCTTCGCCGCACGTGCTGATTTGACTTTTAAGTAAAGTGCGTTTTATGTTTCCGGCCGACAGCTCATTTTTCTTGAATAATCATTCCGTCTCACTCTCCTTGTCGTCTGGTACCATTAAAATCGTTCACGCATCCGAGGTTCTGTTAATTGCTCCACCGTCGTCATACATTGTTAATATACGGCTAGACTCGCTGTTCCGTGCTTGTATAGCAAAAACCACAGTGCACCGTCACGCCAACCGACAACGCAGACAGTCCGATTAATTTGACCCTACGGCCGTCGACGGCGGTGTTGGAGAGGAAAGGGTCCCTTTAGTATGTGCCGGGAGGGTGTTTCATCCAGGGAGAGAGAGAGAGAGAAAAGTAAAACGAAAGTGGAGCCTCTGTTTGTGTGTATTGCAATGCTCGCGAAGGAGACGCGTAGAGTAAGAAAAAGCGGGTGGCTCAATTCATTTTTATTCCCCGAAGGGACAAAGGCAATACAATGCGAGGGGTGCGCTATATTATTTGTTATGTGTACGTTTACACATACACACACACACACACACCGCCCAAAGGCACATATAAACAGCGTCGAATAGCTCTTTTCCTGTCGCGTTTGACTTTGGCTCGGTATCAAACTCCGACGGGCTATAACGAACATGTCGCGTCGCTGCGAAGTTTAAGTTTATATATATATATATATTTATAAGAACAATGACGGTCTGACGTGAAAAACGCTGCCAAGCCGCAATCGAGATAATCCAATAATTGCCGCGTAGGTGCGCCCCGAGACACGTACCATACTTGTCTTTTTATTTTTGATAGATTGCGGTAAAAAAATTCGAGGAGACGACGCGTGTTAGTCGCTTTAACGAGCTAGAAAAGTCTACTCTCGTTCCTTATATCAGCCACCTCTTACCCCCCGGCTCGGTTTTAGGTCCCTCGCCTCTCTCCCGATCGCTTAAAAGTCTAAGTACCGTGAAACAATAGGGACGAACAGGGACGAACTACTCGGACCACGTACTCGTCGTTTCTATTTTGTAATTTCAACTTCGCTGAACATTGTTTTATCACCTCAACCATTCCTATTGGCTTTACCCAGCGTCGATATTAATACAATAAATAGAAACAATTGCGTTCCGAAGGCTTTCACTGTGAGGGCTAAGGGAAATAAATGATCACTCAACGTCAGGTGAAAACCAATAAACCGTAGGAGGGCCCGTGTAAGCTCGGACTCTCTAGAGGTGCAACGCAGTACTGTATTCGCCTATGTTATAATATATCACATCCCTCTTGTTTTCATTTATTACAAAAACAAGGGCTGGGCGACATGCTGCTAAGGTCATTATAACGCGGTTAATCTCTTTTTGACCGAAAATCATTAAACGCCGCAGCTTGTTTTTATTTTTCTTCTTTGTTGCTGTTCTAATTTAATAAAACCGGAAGAATTAAACAAAGGTTTTGTTGTTTGTATAAAATATCCACTTTACCAACTTATAAAACATAATTATAATTATTACATACCTTTAAATACAATATAAACGTTTTTTTTTCGATTGAGTTTTTAGTTGATAATATACTATACCTATATGGAAATTCAGACACCTATCATTCAATTTCTGTATACATGACTGTATGTTATTGTCAATAGAATATTACATTTGTGTTATACTACTATACAAGTTAACATATATTATATTAGTATAGTGTGTATTTACAATGCACTATATTGTACAACACACGTAATGTGTCCCGGCCTTGTCACTCCAAATAAATAGCTTAATAAGACTTACTGCATAACATACACTTATTTGATTTAAAACGTGCAGACACGTCGTTGGAGTCCAATTCAAGTCAACATCATTTCAAACGTTTTATTTATATCCACTTTAATATGCATAATATTATACACAATAGTTTATGTATTTCAGAACAGTAATCTAAGATAATGGAGAAATGAACAAATTGTGGCGAGTAGAATAGAGTGTAGTCGGATGGGAAGAAATGTTATTTAACAGAAAGATTTTTAAAATTAAAATGAGATCTATAATAATATATGGAAGTGAAACGAGATCGGTGAAAATTGAATTAAAGATATAATATTACAATGTATTCTGAATCCATTAAACATAATCCATTGACGTTAACAGACTTGATCGTTATTTAAATAACATTTAAATAAAATAAATATTTTTTTACCTACTTAAAATATAATATCAATACATAATTGTTTAACTTTTTTTTTTTTATAATTTGTCATAAATGCATAATCAACAAATTCATGTATAAAAAAAAATATGATTAAAAACAGTAAAATAATAAACATAATCAAATATTAACGTTAACAACAGCAGTTTTCAGTTTTGTCGAAGGAAAAAAAACACTCAAGTTATGATCGAGGGTTATATATACTTATTATATACTGCATATATTACATATATTACATTTTGGTCGATCTGCTGACAGTGTAAATTAGCGTTTTTTTTTGTGTCTAAGCGATTATTTTGTATTATACTTATGGAAAAGCGTCTTAAGTCCAATCTGTATGATATATGTGTTTAAGATTTTACAGGGACTGACTAACTGTGCATAAAACAAAAGAGAGTATTTTTTTATGTTAGTTTCGACAACACTTGAGCTCCACGGCATGGTACTCTGTCTGTATTTGGAGATGTTTATCGCGACTAACCGTTCAAACTTTGCAGACGAGGGGTCAAAAAATGACTGGGTACCAAATAGTTGAAAAATAACGATAATAAACCTTTTAAAGAGGGAAACGCTGAAGAGAGCCAGAGACTCGTGTACTTTCCGTGTGCTGAAAAGTAAAAAAACGGCAGCGGTTTATGGCGTATCGCATTTAATGCAAAGTAAATGGCTGATGAGCTTCACTAGGTGTTTGCTGTTGCCCTCAGCCGCCGAACCGTCAAGTGAAACGGTATTTATTAATAAACCAACCCTCGTCGGCAATGCACCAACTGTTTCTGCTACGTGCATGCCCATCGCTATGAGGGGACGTTATTACAATAATAATAATAATAATAATAATACCTCCCCTCGCAGATGTGTACAATATTTTAAAACGTGTACCGTGGCTACGGTGGTCGCTGGTATTTACAATCAGCTGGTCTCGGGACATTAAACCCGGAAATGAAATATTATAATATGTAACAACGAAATTAACACATTATGCAACGTTGTTTTGTTCCAGGAGAACCGATGGGAAAAAGTCAAAGGAGCTTCAGGTACAACCGTGCCCAAAGGCAGGAGAGGCCACACGGCACTGGTGTACCGCAATTCTATGATCGTCTACGGAGGATACAGAGATCTAAAAGGATCCACCAGCGAGATGTGGGCCTATCACTTCGGTAAGACTGTCAAAACCTAATGCACACGCATTATAAGTAAAGATACGAATTTGGTTGTCAAAAAAAAGTTATCACATCACACGTGTAGCAAAATATTAGATCATTTACGAAATATGAGCGCTGAAGTTTTTGTTTTCCATTTAAGCCATACAGCAAAAAAATATTATTGTTTTGTTCTGTTAACTTTTTAAAAATATCCTAAAATCGTGTTTTGTCGAGAAATTAAATTTTTTTTAAATATTATACAACAAACAAAATATAGTTTATAAAATATTATTAAAATATAGGAAATATTAGCATAATATTTCAATTAGAAGCAAAACGTCGAAACAATTTTTATAATATTTACTTACCTTTCATAAATAATATTTATGAAAAATTTAATTTCTTGCCAAAATATCATTTTTATACTTTTAAATTATCAAACAACTTTGACAACATTAGTATATTTTTGCTGTATGGGTAATGCGTACAAAACAATTATACAGTTATTTTGTTTTAAGAATTAAACATAAAAGCTTTTATCTTCAAAGAGAAGCTGAGGAGTAGTTGGTTTTATAATGAAGCCTTGCCTTGCCTTTTAAAATAAAATAAAAATTCAAAAGTTCAAAAGTTTTAAAATTTGCAGATTTAAATCAAAAACTCATGTAAATATTATTAACCCTTTGGTTAGTTCATTTTCCTTTTCTAGGCACAGCTTTGTGTCTTAAGGTCTGAAAATTATATATTGAAGGTAAATCTAGTTCGTTGTCAAACCTTATTGCCCGGTCTCCGCCGCGCTGGGTTTTTACATTAGACAAAGTACAATGTGTGTTAGGGTGGCGCAAAAAATATCGATCTTCGAAATGTTAATGGGCTAACATTTAAATTTGTTCTATACATAAAAAAAGAGACTTGGTGAAAATTTGAGATAAAAAAAATTTTTTTTACTGTTCGCTCAAGACGTTTTAAGTAAATTGACCAAAAATGTTCAAAAAACCAAAAAATGACTTAAATTATAACATTTTTGGTCAAAAATCCTCATTAGCACATCTGTAGTATTTTCGCGTTGAAAAATTTTTGTTTCAACCGTTTAACGCCTCGTTTAAAGAACTGCTAAGTAACTGCTTTTTGTTCGTATGTGTCGCACTAATGAACTTATCCTTTGGTCATTCGTGCACCAAAATGAACGTTTTACTGAAAAATGTGTATTATGTGTCAAATAATAAAATAATAATTATCGTTATGAATTTTAGCTGTTATATTTGATTACAATTTATTTAATTTATATATTTCTAGTTATGTATAACACAATATTAATAAAAAAACTTTATTATTATAATATAAAAGTTCAGAAACAACTTTTTCTAAATGTTTATTAAAACTGATTTGTTGCAACCAGAAAACTCGCTTTTATGTTTTTTTACTATTTGTAAAATATATTGTTTTTGTTCCTCATCTGTCTTTAAAGAATTGTTAAATTGTGTCATTAAAGCAATTCCTCTTTCGACTGGATCATTCACAACAAATAATGATTGCACTTTATTATATGCTGACGTATAATTTTTATTTATAGACCAAGTACTGGGATCGTCATTCAAAAAATCGCCACTAATATTGAGCGCCGAAAACAATTGTTTTTAGTTACAAATTGCTGTAAACCATAATTTTTTTTATTGTTTCAACTGAAAATCGTTTTTTTTGGATTTATTTTACCTTTTTTATTTAAAGCTTTGACCGTTTTAATTTTGTCTTCATTTGATAGCCCGTCATCAGAAAATGCAAGTCCAATAAGCGTTTCACTTAGATACCATAAATATCCAGAAAACGCTTTAACCGCCTCGGCGCTTGTACACTTTTAATATCGATGTATTGTCTTAATTGTATTAATAGATTTAGATCATTTTTAGGTGCTTTATTAGCACATGAACTGGTAAACCAATATTTAATATAAACTCTTAAATAAAAAGTGATGTGAATACTTTCAATTCAGAGCTGTCAATTTAATGTTTTTGAAATATAACATTTTGAAGCAATAATAATTTTTTATATTGTGTTAAATATAATTAGAAATATAAATTAATAAATTGTAATCAAATATAACAGCTAAATTCATACGATAATTATTATTTATTATTTGACACATAAACATTATTCAGTAAAAGTTCATTGCGTGCACGAAAAATGCCAAAAAGGTATAAGTTTTAACATTAGTGAAAAAAATTTTTCACTAGAACTTACATAACGTTCAACAAAAAAGTATAAAATAAAAAAATTTTTTAGTTACTTTTAGCTTAATTGAAAATTAACCTTTTAATTACGAATTTGTGTTAATAACGTAATTAATTTTTATCTTAGGATTTTGAAACTAAAACAGTTTTATTCAACGCGAAAAATACTACAATTTAGATGTTCAAATGAGGATTTTTGACCAAAAATGTTATAATTTAAGTCATTTTTTGGTTTTTGCATTTTGGTCAATTTACTTAAAACGCGTTGAGCGACCAGTAAAAAAAATTTTTTTATCTCAAATTTTCACCAAGTCTCTTTTTTTATGAATAGAACAAATTTAAATGTTAGCCCATTAACATTTCGAAGATCGATTTTTTTTGCGCCACCCTAATGTGTGTGTATCAATAATTGACCCAAGGACCAAATTGCTCTCTAGAATTAATTGCTTACTAGATCACGGCTTAATTATTTAAATTTTCATAACCTATATTCATTAAATAGACTGCTTATGATTCTTATTTGTGGTAATCACTTAAGTGTACCTATATTACATGATAATTTATTTCATGATATATATTCTAATAACAATTTCCACTAACGTACTCCGGATTAGCTCTACCCCTTGTCTTCCTCCCCCCTTTTGTTACTATTCGAAAAATACTAAACGTATACCGGCATGTATGTAATGTGAGTTTTTAGTTTGTTTTACAAACACCACCCTTAATCGTCTACCCGCTGATCCTTACCCAAAACCTAACCCAAATATCAATACAACTTAAAGATTTTCCCCGTTTATTTTTAGAAAGTTTTAGGGTTTATTTTCCCAATGTATATGCTTTGAGTTAAAAACAAGTAGTAACCGTTAACCACTCTAAGAACCTTTTTATAAATACTTTTTCATTCGATGATTATTTCTAGTTTACTTACTCGTTATGTTTTTAAGTGCAGTGTAACGTATTAGAAAAATACATCACTTATTGTGGCCAACAATTGTTCGATTAAAATTACAAATAAATATTACTTAAATAAATTATTTGCTTAGCTTAAGCGTAGATGCCTTTTATTTTATTTGTTTTAAAAGGATATTATAATGCCTCATTTTCCATGTATGAAAATATTTTATGTTAGTATTTTTCACTTGAACAATATAAAAGACAATTTCAACGATTTTGAGATTTTATTCATACTAAAATGATTATATTGCGTCTCACAGTAGAATTTCATACATTTTTCAAATATTTGATGTACCTACTTAAAATCGAGTGACTACAAAAAAAAGTTTCGAGTGTAAATGTCCAATGCCCAAGCAATTTACTAAAAGTCGATTAATGTAATAATTTCACTATTATATTTACATTGTTTTATTGACATCAATTTTTACTCCAATTGAGTAGCTGTTCTTCTCTTTTCTTCAAACAGTTTTTAGTTGAAAAAACAACTGGATGTTGTTAGTGAATAAAAAAAAGACCAAACGTTTTACAATAATACATTTCTTATTTCTTTCGTTTATAGCCCTGTGACATTTAGTATTAATACTTTTTTTTGGTGAGTATGAAAGTCTGCTGAGTACCTCTATTTTTATTATTTTTTTGTTTTTAGCTAAAATGTTGACACTTGACACGTTACACTATTAATATGCAGCAATTTATAATTATAAATATTTCATTGGCTTTTGTGAAAAATCAGATAAACGAATGTTCAAAATATGATATTTGCATATTTTGATAAATTAATTATGTGATTGATTTATTAATTTATAAAATATTATTAAAAGGAGTTTTTAATACATTGTATTGCTATGTGGGTAAGACTGATCAGATTCGTTAAAAATAAATCAGTTTTCGATTATACGAAGATAGAAATGTAATAATCAATAATTTATTTTTTTATTATATTTTCTCCCCCTCTCCCCCAGGGGATGAAGTAAATATGCCCCCGAATGCACATGATTTATATTTTATCCGGCTGTTATCAGCTGATATTACAATTGAATACAAACACATGATCCCAGGCTTCCAATTCTACTAGTCGGACTACATTAAATAATAGCTTTCAAGTATAATAATAATTACCTATACTGCCAAATTACATGCTTACACAGGAACATTTGTTGATATTTTCTAAAAAAAAAATATAAAACCATGCCAAATGCAAATATATGAAATTTGTTTTGTGCAAACTAATTTAGTTAATGTTATATTATAGTTTTTGATTTGATGTGAAAAATCAATTTGTCGATTATTAACATAGGCTTGTTGGTGGCGCCAGATTCATTCTTTTAAGAGTTTACTTTTAGTAATGTAAATAAAGCGACTTTGTTTTTGCTGGCTTAAGTTTTTTTTTTTCATAATATCATGACTTTGTATCCCGTGCTTAGGGTAATATAACTGTACGGAGTAGTGAGTACCTAATAAGTTTTCTAGTCAGCGTCTTTAGTCCTTTTTTTATTTTGTAGATCAATAAAGGACGTAGGTGGATGACATAGCAAATTAAAACATGGCCAGTACGGACGTTAACTTCACAATTTAAAAAACTATAGTCTTCAAATGGATATTTACATTCTTAACCTCTAATAATTTCTCAGCAAACCAATATTGTCGTTATCTGCGACTGTAGCTCGGACAACAACCTTACCCAGGTGTTGTTTTTTTGCTGACTGAAAAACACAATAAAAAAATACCGCTTTTTTACGTTGCAATAACAAGACATTTAATTAACATTCGGTAAACCTATTGCGTGTGTTTACCAACGTTTTATTAACCTATTTAGCGGGCGCACTGTAAAAAAAAAATGGATTGGTGGTGCAGTAGAGGGAGCAATAATAGGTTGTAATATAGATCTAACCTGTCGGGTTAACGATCACCGTCAGTCATACGAAGCGATGATAATTAATTGTTCCTATGTAAATATGTTGTTGGGTTATCGACAACGTATAAACTTTTTGTTCAGAAATTAATACAATACAAATATTATTTATGTTGTTTACTCGTTATCTCCATATGATTACATAATATTATAATAGTACTATTGCACGATAATAATATATTGTATAATTAGTAAATAATAATTAAAATGCAAAATGGCAAAATGTACCCATAATATTATACATGCGTGTGATTTTTCCTTTCAGATACCCAAACGTGGCATTTATTGTCGCAGGGAAAATCTTGTCCACCGGCCAGACACAAGCATTCGGCTGTTATATATGGAGACGTCATGTGGGTTTACGGCGGTATGACCGACTTACAAGAGAGATCGGATTTGTGGAAATTCGATTTCGGTGCGTTTATAACAGTAAAAATATAATAGTATTGCTTATAACAAGAACAGAGGTCTATTGAGCAAGCGATTTTGAGGGGAAAGGATATGTTTTTTTCACAAGAGACCGCGATATTTATCAAGAACCGAGAGCTGCCATAATTTATGCAATAAGACTGTAGGTATCGTGTTGGATTCCTTTTAAATTGATGTTTCGATGATTTATGGAGAAAATTTGAAGAAAAGAAAATGGCTTTTGTCAAAATCACTTTCTGGTGTACTTATATTGCACAAATTTAAAATTCAAGATTTCAAGGAAAACACACGAAATTTTCTCTATGGGAGCTAATAAGGGTATACTAGTAAATGTATAAACTTTTACCAAGTTGTAAAGTATCTAAATTGGAAAAGGGGATGCTCGCGTATTCTTACAGCAGTAATTTTTAGTGTTGGAAGTATATTCACTGAATTATTTTATTTAAAAATATTATAGATTTTTTTTTTAATTTTAAGACACGACTTTAGATATCAACATTTAGGGAATTAATATATATTTTGATAGAGATCCACACTACTGTAGGGTTCGTTCTATTTTTTCTGTGGCTAGAACCGAAAAAAACTAAACCATAGATTTTTCAAATGTCTGCATTAAAAATAATTAATTTTAATAATATTCTGTAAAAAAAATCTCGTTTTTTACTGATTGTTTGAAACTCAATTAGCTAAACGCTAATTAAATATTAATTAAACATAAACAGTTTTATTATCTTTATTTGTTTATTCTAAAAATCTGATTTAATTGTTCAATATATTAGTTGCTACTAACAGTTATAAATTTACAATCCAAGTGTTTGAATTTTGTCTCTTTTTTTTTTTACGTAGAAAAATGTGTTGGCTTTTAAAAAAGGGTTTTCTGTTTTAGTGAGAAAAAAGTGGAGCGTCGTGAAGAACAAAATAAATCCGGGACCGTTGCAGGGTCACAGCGCTTGCAAAGTGATGGGTTCAATGATTATTTTTGGCGGCAAAAAAGGAGGACACATTAGCAACGAGTTGTGGAAGTTTTATTTCGGTAATGGGTCACTTTAATAATTATATAGCCTAACCGTGATTTAATTGGGTTTAACGGTCCAGAATGATATATTATCACACTCAGATTAACGACACAAAAGCTAGGACAGTAACTCAAACAATATATCAAAACAGACCTGATAATTACAATGAATTATCACCAATTATTGTAGAACGTTTTATTTTTTGTCAACTCTATCAGAAAATAAATTGCAATAAATCGATACAATTGTTTGTCCGTTTTTTGTAAAAAAAGGTTTACTCGTGGTTAAAAATTGCTTCGCTAAACTATATGCCTTCTACTGTAACAAGCTTAAATAATTGTATTTTTTATGCAAACACATTTCCCTCTGTAATGATTTTGTAATGCGTTTTGCGGACAAAAGTATTTTCGGTCAATGTAATAATATGAATAATATTTAAGTAAAAATATATCAAACCTACATACCATATTAAAAAGTAAAACAAAACAAAAATACAATTATACATAATATGTTATTTTAGCCAGCGAAACGTGGGAAAAGGTGCAGACCACTTATCCGCAGCCACCGCCTATTTGTGAAGCAATAACAGTGGCCGTGTCGGATACGACGACCACAACGGCGGCGGCAACGACTACGACGAAGAACGGACGGGAGAACGGTGTGCAGAGTCCGTTGGGCAGGCGGTCCAGGAGCGGCCGTTCGGTGGACAGGCAGAATGGCTGCAGCGCGGACAGGGAACATCACGTGTACCAACACCAGTCTAGGCCGGAATCGAGGTCCGGTGGTTCGAACGTGAACATCCTGAAGGAGCTGTCGAAACTGTCGCAGCTCAACCTCTACCGGTTGGCGCACAACAAATCGTACAGCGTGTTGAGCAGCAGCGATAGCGTCGTGTCCGGCGACAACTACCAACAGCAGCAGCAGAACATGGTAAAGTCGCAGAGCGCGAATGTGATCGCCAGGTCATTGATCTCGCCGGTGGTGCCCAACTGCTCGCCGCCCAAGTCGTTCCGGATGCCCAGAGACCACATTTCTGTGCCCAACTTCGGCGTCGCCTTGACGCCTGTCGAGGCCACCAAACTGGTGTACTTGGAAGGCGAGGAAGCGCCCAGTCCGCGCGTCGAGATTGACAACGACTTCGGGTCGGTTCACATGAGGTTCCACCCGAACGGCCCGTCGTCCGCGTTCAACAAGATGATGAACCGCCGCAGTTACCCGCTGACTAGTTCGGCATCCGTCCGTTTCGGTAACCCGTACAGCACGCCGGAAGAACCAGGAGAAATCACGTCCGGTTATGCCAGCATCGAGACCGTGCACCAGTCGCCCAACGGCGATGGACCCATAAGTTTTTCCAATCCCAACTACATGGTACAGGCTGACATACAAAACGCCATATCCAAAGGTACGCGCGACCGCACGGTTATTTCATTTTACGGTTATATAATTCAAACTACCTAAGTATACTAGTAATTGTACATTAATTAATTAATATATTAGTATATTAGAGAGAAGAAGAAAAACCTATGTATGGTTTTTAGGATAAGAAATTAGTACATAGAGGTAGTTTAGGCGTGTCTTATATAGCGGACAAAATGGCTTAGATGGTTTGGACATGTTATAAAGAGAGAAAACCCGGAAACAATAAAAATGGTAATGAAAATAAATGTAGGAAGAAGGAGGGGAAGAGGAAGACCAGAAAAAGGTGGTTATATGCGATTGAGAATGATATGTGTACTGTTGGTGTACACGTGATGGTGTGAAAGATCTTGCGGAATGGAGGCTTAGGACAATGGTGGCCGATCCCAAATAGTTAGGATGGAGGCGAATGAGAAGAAGAGGAAGAAGTATATTAATAACTTGTATACCAATATATTAGTAATTGATCGGTTTGCTTGTTGTTGCAGGAGACTACGTTAAGTTAAACAGTCCACCGGACAGTCTGTTGGAGGACAGCGATAACGCATTCGAAATGCGCCAGATGAACCGGCCCGTTCCGCCCAAAACATTGGCGTTGAGCTCGTCCACGGCGTTCAACTCGACCATAACGTCGTACAACTCGTCCAAGAAGTTGAACCACTCTAGCGTAGACATACGCGGCCCCACGCCAAAGGCCCGTGCCGTCAGCGCCAGTCGGGCCGGAGTGCGTGAACATCAGCCGCAAGTGAAAGAATGCACGGTGTTCCTATTGGGCGGTATCGAACAGGACGGCTCGGTGACGGTGTTCAAGAAACCGATGACTATGTGGAAGCTGAGCATGTACTTCCGAAGCGTTTAGATCTGACCTATCCATCCGTTAGGGTCATAGATCTTAGCTTAAACTATTATTACTATTTATGAACTAAGTGTTGTGAGCTTAAGTTTGTATACCTCTGTAAATTTGGACGTTTTTTGTGTATTTTGAAACAATTTTTCTCAGGCTTGAACTAGCCATAAATGATTTCCGAGCCTTTGGAAAAATTTGCCAGTGCCATTGATGACTGATGGCAATTTATTGTGTAAATTATTATGCGTGATGATTTTTTTTTTTATTGCAACACGTGCCATCGAATATAATTCTTCCAGTACGATTAATATAACAAATTGTTATTAACATCATATATTATTTTGTAATACTGTCCGTCCGGCGTGTCGCGGGTCCGTCCATCTAAAAACGAATAAAATAATTTTATTAATCGCACCTAAAACAAAACAAGTGCCGAAAATTCATTCTTTCAAATTATTTAAGTGAAATTGCATGCTTATAATGTGCGATTTGAAATCCGTTTAGGTATACGTGGATTTTTATACTTTCACATATTATTATATAGGTATTATAATTATTTATGTATCCAGTATCATATTAGTTGTGATATTTTAATAAGACACGTCTTGTCGGTCAACGATTTTATACATTTTTTTCTAATTAGGTTTATAGATATTTTATAAATCCATAGTTATTTGCTACCATCAGATTTTCGGTTAAAAACTATGAGGCATATATCGACTTGAAGTCGTTTAGTCATTGTCACCAAAAAAAACAATAATATTTTAACTTACTTTCGACGGTTTTAGGATAACTTTCCTGCCAAGATTGCAATTTTTTAGTTTAATTGTAATAGTTTCATTTTTGTATCTTAATTCAATAACATTCAATACAATATTTTTTTTTTTAAATTACAGGCGATTTAGAGTGAACATTTTTTTTCAAATTCAATTTAAGAAACATGAATATTAAACGTGTTACGTGTCATAAATGGAAAAGTGCTTAAACTATTATATCAAATTTTAATAATTGATCGTATTAGATGTTTTCTAAGAAAATCTTCATAGGAAAATTTCAAATATTTAAATTAAAACTGTTTGGATTTGAAAATTATTCTTATGATAATATCCGAACTTGTCTATATTTAAATAATCAAATATTATATACATTTTTTACAAAATATACAATTTGCATACCTAATATGTGTGCATTGTATTTAAATAACTAGATATCTGCAGTTTTAAAATCCTTATAACAATTGTAATACTTCGAAATTTTTTGTTTATTGAATACTTTAAATCATGTTTTAATAAGTAATAAGTAACAATCATAGTTACATTAAAAAAATGTCAAAGTATACTTTTTACTTTCCTCAAATATTATTTTTGGATTTACAACCGTCATTAGGATTAACTCGGTGATTTTGTGATTTTATAATTACAAACATATTTACATATTTTTTTTTAAAAATATTAAAAATAATCCTGTTTGCTTGTTTATGCATTAATTCTACAATAGTTCAAAAATCGTGTTTCTTTCTTCAGCTTAAATGTATTTTTTTAAATATTAATTTCAAGTTTCCTATTTTATTATTTTTATTTTAGTATATATTATTTATCATTTACTATACTAACTTGTATGTAAAACCACGTTATGTTAATTATGTAATTATAAAGATTTTTTTTTTAAGAAGTGCAATATTATATATATAGTATAAACACATACAACGTAATGTAACATTTGTATGTTAAAATATAGATAATATTTTTTATGAATTATTATCAATTTTCGTAATGCGTTTAATACGTAAAATAATTACAATAATTTATTTTTAATAATAATTAAAATAATTAATACGTAAAATACGTATCTCAACCAAAATTTTCCTGATATTTACATACATTGTACTTTAACCCATTTTTAGCATTTGCTATCATTACATAATGTAATACTAGTTTATTCTTTTTTGTTAATTTAAAATTTATGTTTTTATTAAACTTGTTTGTTATTTTACACAATATTTTTTAATGTTTAATATATTATATTATACTTCAATTACCAAAATATGAGTGCAATATGTATTTGTTTATTTTTTTTGTTGTGAAATAAAATTCAAAATTTTTCTCTTTCTTTAATATAACACAATTTTAACTGGTTTGTATTATTGTTTAGAATTTTTACTATGCATATTATTTTACTAATTGCGGTAGTTGCCTAACACACATCTATAAGAGTGATTATAATACTGTAAGTTATGATTAAACATATTTTTTGTAATTAAATTGATTTTTTCATTTAGTGGTAATCCACTTTTGGGCAGTTTAAGAATTGTCGAAAATTCTGTGATTGTCTGATTTTTTGCTTTTGTCTGTAATATATACCTATACCAATGTAGTACAACCTAATGTATTATTGAAATAAAAATATAAAAAGCATTTTAACTGGTCAAATATATTTCTGTCATGCATATATTACTTATAACATTGAAACATATAATTAGGTTTAAAATTAAATGGTAAACACTGAATAACTTAATATCACAGGCAATTGGCAATAGTTTGAGGCATAATAATACATCTAAAACAATAATAATAAAATAGTAAATACTAGAATATTTGACATTATACAAAAACAGTGAAGATATAAGATAACAAAAAAATACAACAAATAATTGGTAAAATAAAAAAAGGGTTTTAGATATTAGTTTAAAATAATATTATCGTAATCTAATTCCGGAATGTCAGTAGTAAATTCTGTTGATGTCGATAATAAAAATTGGTTTAGTGTTTTTTCAGTACATTCTGCAATGAATCTCATAAACGGCCTAATGTCACCTTTGTTAGCAAGGTCCAAATTTCGATAATACCTATTTAAAAAAAAATACAATTGTTGACATCAACATAATACACTAGGATAATGTATGTACTTGTGTCTTTCTCCTTTTGGAATTATGACAGGAGGATAACCAGCTTGCATTAAAATCATGTTCATGAGGAGTCGCGAGGTACGTCCATTGCCATCGGTGAACGGATGTATATGCACTAATTTATAATGTGCCAATGCAGCATATCTAACAGGATGTAATCGAAGAGCGGTGTCGGAATTCAGCCATTTCGAAAAATTTTCCATTAGTGCCAAAATATGTGATGGACCCGGAGGAATATGACCACCAACAAAAACCTAAAAAAATTAAAACTTAACTATTAAAATTATACAGCGAAGGAAGAGCCATTTTCAATTGTTTATTTTCAGTTTAAATACTTGAGTATGACGGAAAACTCCACTTTCAAAAGGGTCGACAAATGCCATAACTCTTTTATGAATTTCTAAAATATCGTCGACTGCTATACGTCCAAACTGATTGATTAATGTGGCATTAATGTACTTGAGAGCGGCTTCAAGACCTATTATTTCATTATGTTCGGCAAGACTTCTTCCACCTATGGCCATTCTAGTTTCTAATATTGATCTTGTTTCTGATAAAGACATTCTATTTCCTTCAATACCAACGGTGTGATAAATGTGCTAATAAAAGTATTGAAAAAACATACTTATTATTTGTATACTATCGAACTATACATAATACATTATCTACATTACTGTATGGGATACCAAAATATACTGATGAACATAAAGGACGATTTTAATATTTTATTAAGTTTACAACACTTTATAATAATAATATATAAAAAATGAACACTAATTTTACTTTTTATTTAACATACTTGAAAATATGCTTCTTTTTTTGCTCGTCTTAAAGCACTATTTGATTCAGATATAGATGCCACTTTGTCTCTTTTTTCATCAATACGTTTAAGTTGTTGCCAATCTAAATCATCAACAATTAGTTCGGTTCTCTTACGATTTCGCAACGCTCCTTTATGTTTTGGACTATGTACAAGTGCCTAAAATATTATGTAAACTATGTAAACTGTCAACCAATGTTCTTAGATAACAAACCTGAAAATACATTTGATCAGCTTTTACAACATCTTTCTGTAACTCTTCAATAATCTCTCCGTAGCCATTTAACAAATCGGGATTTCTCGGAGAAAGTGCTATCCCGTGTTCTATAAGTTTCATTGCTTTTTGGGTTTTACCTTCCAATTTCATTTCATTAGCAGCAATTAGTGATATCAGTGCTTCAACATTGTCTTGGTCAGCTATAAAAAAAAAAAAGATACATAGAAATGACTTATTGGTAGATCAACAACAATTTTGAAATAATTTTTCTTACAAACAACATCCACAGTTGATTCTCTGATGATTAATTCATGGACTTCTTTACCCGTATCGACCAATTCGTGATAGTCGAAATCGACAATTGAAAAAGGGCGCCTCACAATCAAATCTTTATGTTCACTGTGATCATGTAGAACGAACGGCCAAAATATTGGCAATAGGATGCAGCATAATACTCCAATCAGGAATACAATTAAAACCAAATATGATTTTACAAACCTATAAGGTTGTAATAATGCCAACCACTTCATCGTTGCTGCAGGCGGATCTTCTTATGACGGACCAGAAATATACAACAACGGTTTAGTACTTATCATGGTCAATAAGTATAGCATGTTAAATACAATTATAAAGTTATCCATGTAGCTGTTAATAACCTGTACGTGAATTTGAAAAAAAAAATATCATCATTCATCAATGACATATTTAAATATGTAATATTATTGTATCAAACACAAAAAAGTAATAACGACTAAAATATTTTATTGTGTAACCTATAGCACCACGTATAAAGTAGCTGATAATGTTATCATTCATTTATTATCTACAGCCCGTTTACGTGATAACAATCGTGCAGAGCACTAATCTGCAATTCTGAATTCACTAACTATGAACCAGCCTGTATCTTAAAAGATATTAGACTTTTTAAAATACTTCTTCATACTTTCATAGTTATTAGTTAGCCCAAATTTGATATATTTTGCTACTATCTATAACCTTATCCCTTATGTGTTAAAACGCAATGAAATTGATTTTTTTAGATGGTAACATAATATATATTAACTCATTTTTTTTAGATTAAGCATAATTTGCTGAAAAATTTGACTAGTCGATAACCATTTATAATAATTACTTATAAAGTTATTTTAGTGTAAAATGTAGGACGGGAAATGGAGTGAGGTAGAGTAATGTGTTCGGATAAAAATAATACTATACTACAAACTTCTTCCTGTACTTAATTTTATTTTTAACTTTAAAACTGATTATCGACTAGTTACTAAATTAATCTTAATAAAATATATACTATGTTACTATTTAAAAAGTTCAAGTTCATAAGGATTTAAAACATAAGGGATGAGGTTATGTTTTTCTAAAATAAATTAAAATTAGGTGAAATATTAACTATAAAAGATAATTTGTTTGCTAATTTTGCCTGGACCTGTGTTTTTTAATATGCAGTTAGACATTGAATTGTACATAAATAATAATTGTGTAACTTATAATTAATTGTAGAATATAAATAAACAAACAAATATTAATAAATATATATTTATTCAAATGCATGACACTCTAGAATATGTGCATAAGTAATTGCTGATTTTCAGAATCAATCCAATAGTAGGAGTGAATGTGGATTTCAAATATCAAATTCATCGACTTCAAAAATCTGAAAAATACAATTTTTAAATATACTGTTTAGAAGAATAGGTTATTTCCACAGAATAATTGTATTATACTTCGAGTTTTTCAAACTGATTTTTGAGTTCAGTTAATCCTGTCAAGTCTTCTAAGTAATTTGGGTTTGTAAACACATAACTTAAAAATTCATCTCTGCTATTAATAAAACTGTTAGTAACCTAAAACAAATGTAACAAATATTATAACATAACCTGCTAAGCTTGTGATCTTTTTCTTTTTTTTAAATTACTTTGGATGAACATGCGATGCATTTATCAAAATTTGGAGTGAATGGTGTAATCTGTTGGTAGTCAAACAAAAAACCCCTGATAGAATGTGGCACAACCCCTATACAACTATTAGCGTTTGCTGAAATGTCGTCTCTAAATACAAATAAAAAGTAATGTACTTGTAATTATTTATTAAATATAAATACTATTATTATTATATTCTACTTCAGTTGAGCATAGGAGACAAATAATTCAACAGCCAAAGCTCCGGCTATTGCTGATACTCCTGGCCTAGTAACAGTGCATTGTTGATCCAATGTCTTATCCACAGAAGACTTAAAAAATTAACAGGTGTTAAATGAATACAAAATAGTTTAACTATTGTAAAATGTCAATTTGCATTATCTTACATTCCCTGGTGCAGTAACATCATTGCAAAAATAACATCCCAATTTTGTAGTTTCAGAGGACGCCGACTGCAATTTGGTTCCATGTCTGATTACTAAATATGAATCAAAACCGAGAGCAGCAGTTATGGCAAGCTTAAAAAAAAAAGACTTTTTAACATTCAAATTTTACCGAATTATTATTTAATAAATTATGCCAATTTTAAAAATAAAAAACTTTATTATCAAATATAATTAAAAAAGAAAAAAAAATCAAAATCAATAACTGATTAAAATTGTCTAAACGTTTACTTTGTTGTGTAAAGTTGACAGCATTGTAGGTAACCAACGGCTCTCTCTTGAGTCTGTTAGCAAAAATATAACATCGTGATCTTGTATGAGTTTTGAAAGTCGGTCCACATCGTGTAGGCCTTCACTATTTGCTTCATGGCCAGGCATTGGAATATTTATTATCACACCAGCGCTGTTCTAATTATTAAGCAACAATACATATAAATAATGTCAGTAATAACACATCAGTAAAAAATATAGGTGCATACTATTTCTGGATGTATCTCTTTTAAAACTTCCGCGGCCGCTAAGGCTTTATAGGTGTTTGAACCCACGCAATGTGAATGCTTGTACAGCGATTGCCGAACAGGGTTCGAATAAGAAACTTTACCGTTGTCAATAAATGTTATGTTGCGAACACCCCATGACTAGTAAATAATATCACATAAACCAAATTAGTATTTATTATGAACAATATTGACTTGACTAATTAGATGTACCATTAGATTTCTGGCAACACAGCAGCCTAAAGTACCAGCACCTATTACAAGACATTTTGACTGAGCTAAAACGTTCAAATTTAAATCCGGTGCTAAACGCCATTTCATAAGCTTAAGATTTAAATCGACAGACTCTCTGGCATGCCTTTAAAAAAAATGTATTCTATGAGATAGATATTAAAATTCAAAATTCAACTTGTATAATACTAACTTTTTTGAGTCCATCGTTTTACTAAGGTCGACATATTTAGGACAAAACTTTCCTTTATTGTTTTTTTCCCAGCCTACAAACTTAATGTCTTGTACAATCGCCATTTCAAAATTAGCTAATAACATTTATACTCTTTTAGCATTAAATTACATAATAACAAAAACATAATTAAAAACACACATTGTACTTTGATACTGAACAAAATGCTTTTGTTAAACTTATTTTGTGTTGTTCCTCTCAAAGCAATAACTTTAAATGTTGAATTCAATGCAGATGGACTTTAAAACAAATAATATCCATAATAAAATTACTATCAATTTAAAATGTTACATTGTAATAAGTAAAACATATACATTACCAATGTAATAGTAAAAGAAACAAAACATTTCTCAATGGCCATCCTGGGTTGTTTTCTAAATCTGAAGGATCTGCAAATACTAAATAACACTGTGATTGATTTTCCAATGTATTTCTTAGTTCTATGTACTTTTCTAAAGTAATAACTTCAATCTCGCCGCCTTTTTTTAACACAATACCAAAAAATCCTCTTTGATTAATTTGAAGACTTTGAAATTTAGGAAGAAGACAATCAATCTAATGTCATAAAAATAAACCCAATAATAATTTAGCTTTGGTTATAGTCAAATGGTAAAAATCTCAGCTATGCATATCATTTTAGTATTACTATAATTAATACTTGATGATCTTAAGAACCTACTTGAGTAAGTAATAATACAGTATCAAGTGGTCTTGGAAGGTCGGCTAAATAATACATTGGTTCAGCAAAAGTTGGAAACGCAAACCAATAATAAAAATGGTATCGCTTAAGATCCTATTAAACAATAAATATTAAATTATTAGATTATTGATTTATTGTAAATTACAAAATTAAAAATAATATAAGATTTACTTACAGAATACATCAATATATTGAATGCTGGAATTAACGAAGGATCTTTAACTGCTCTTCCGGAACGAAAATCGTCCAGCAATTGTTCTCCGAAATTCTTTAGTAACTCACTTTTATCACAGTTTTTAAAGGAATCTAATGTATTTCTATGTATACAATGACCTCTGGCAACATAGTTAGTCGATGTTTGGTTGATTTCTCTAATAACATAATAGTCTAAATTATTATATTTAGTAATTTTAAATAAAAACTGGTTACAATAAAATTATGCCAATGGTATAAAATAAATCGGCGTATGGCTTCAATACTCAATATAGCCTTTATTTTATCTACTAAGTATACTTTTGAATAAAATAAACACTTACTGGTTGAACGATGAACAATCCAACGATATAAATGGAGCACTCTTTGAAGAATAAAAGCCAATAAGAGGCCTAGATACTTCACTCAACTTATCGACCTCCAATTTTAACTGTGTAACTTTATACCAAAAAGAAGGATCAAGACAAGAAAATAGTGATTGGAACCGTACATTTTTCTTGTTTTCCAAACTAGACTCTCCTTTTGAATCTTCAGTCGTATCCACTTGTTCTAACGTTGTATAAAACAAAATATTACACCTAATGAAGTTTTTGTATTTTTTTTTAATACCAAAATAGTTTTACCTGATATTGTGTTTTCCATTTTCTTAAAAAGGTAACAATTTTTTTAGAAATAAATTTTTATTGTAATAAATCACTATCTATATTTTATATTCTTCTTATTGCCATTTTTGGCTTTCTTATTATCAGTTATTTGTACTATTATTATGACATTAATTGTTTAATATTATTACTCCTGTCACAGATAGAGTAATGAAATTCTTTACCTTATTATTGACTTACGAGTTATGACACATGATTTGAACAATAATTTTTTTAAACGAATAAGGAGAGTCGAGAGTCCTGGAGAGTTGTCAACTGTTATTTGTATATATCCTTTTATTTATTATTATTATATATGATTTATGTTAATGTGATAAAATGTCTTTAACTGATAACAACCACAGACATATCACATACAACAACTCCTTCCTCACATTTTTTTGGCGGCGTTCCAAGGACCACGTGACACCTGTAGCACTTAGCTGATAAGTGATGTCGATTTACAATTGTCTTTCAGCTCGAATACTTACGTTAATGTATTGTATTTTGTTCAGAAGTTTTGTTTAGGACTTGGATGATTCGACTCGACGCACAACAGAACGAAATATGCTGTTTTTATTTGTTTTCAACCGATAAGCATGGTAATTAAAAAATAATTTTCTTTACTAACAATAATTTACTATTTTACTCTTACTAACAATGCAGAGGGGCTTTATAGTGAATACCAAAAAAATTTTCTGCTTACAAGGCGCCCGCAGGTGAAAATTCAGGGGGGCCGCCTATGATTTTTTAATGGATTTTGCGAGTTTAGGATAATATTTGATACATTTTTTTTTAACTTGCTAAGATGCTAGCGGGGGAAGTTGCCCCTTCCGCCCGTCCCTGTGGGCGCCCATGTCTATTTTACCAATATTAGAAATCATGAAATGATGTAATACTTATAAAAAGTTAAAAAAAAAAAAAACAATGGCTTTTGACTAGAAATTTTTTTGTTTTGTTTTTTGATCCTTTGTTCTGTGTTATAGAGCTATAATTACGACAAGCAAACTATTCATTTATTATTCCTTTTATCATTTTATAAATTTAAAAAAAAACATTCTAGCTATTTATTAAATTGATATCAATTTAAAATAAAAAATATTTTACGTTATTCTCTAATATAAGGTATATTTTAATACTTATAATACTCTTTATTTATTAAAATTCAAATTGATATTTAAAATTGTTTAGAGCTTGTGTTTTTTTTTGTTATAAAATATTTTAATTTTTTGGTTAAAATATCTTGAGTAACTTATTTTGGACTAAAAATATTAAAACATGTATAATTTTATTTTCTTGAGTTAACCTTTAAATGGTCGTGCGAGGTAAACATTTTCCATTACACAAATTTGTAGGTACCTACTTCTTTCACTAATTTTTCTACTAACCTTTATTTTTTAATGTACAACATATTCTTTTACATAATTAACAAATTTAATTGAGAAAAAAATGATTTTCATAACTAGATTTTAGAATTTAATTATTTAGAAACATCTTGACTGTTCAGTATCAGTTTTTTTTATTTTACATAATATACAATCTATACAATGTAGTAAATTGATTAATGAGTATATTTGAGGTTTCTATTTACGATAGCGTGTTTTGACTTGAGTTAGAGACCGTCTACCAACGACACTTTTATTTTTAGTTTGTTACCGTTTTAATAGGTTTTGCCATCATTTATGTTACAACCTTATAGAAGGATTTCTTAACATGTTAGGTAATGCTAGGTTTATAGCCAAGTTTGGAAGATTGAATAGAAAGTTTTGGTATCTAGTATATAACTGTATAGCGCATTCAGGTATGGATTTGATTTTCTGCAGCTCCCTAGATTTGTGGGCCGTAGGTCCATAGGGGTTTTATTAGTAGATTATAACTTTGGTCGTAGAGTAAGTTTTGAGGTTCATGAATTTGTTTCGGGCAGTTTCAGATTTAGGAATCTTTTAAGGAGACGTAGGCAGTTGTTAAGATTGGTTTTAGTGTTATTGGTATGATGTGACCTTATAAGGGTTGTCAAGTAAATTCTTAAGTATTTTACATTAAAGATGATGGAATTTAGATGTTAAGTATACAGACAGCCAGGTAGTTTGTCTACGAGTAAATATGTCTTGTACAGGTTTACTTTCATTGATTTGTACTCTCTTTTTTTTTAGCAATTTTGAAGTTGGTCTAGGTGGGATTGTAGATTGTTGTGACGCTGTATCTACGTCCCTGTGAATAGGAAGTATGCAGATCAGATTTAGATTTGAAATTTAGGATTGAAAACTTCTTCATAATAAGTTTTCGATTACAATGAGTTCAAGCTTATTTATATTTATATTTAAAAAAAATATAATATATATAAACAACAACATAATTGTAGGTAAAAAGTTTCCAAATATATAGATTTAGACAGTTAACACAGGCACACTAGTATGAAAAAACAATATTCCAATTACTGATAATCTAAGATAAACTTGTATACAGCAGCTATATAAAACATTAAATATTAACAATGGTGTAGCGCAGTGATGACCTCAGTTTCCATTCGGCACCTGAAGTTAAGCTGTGTTCGTTGCCACTTGGTCCCAGTTGGGTACTACCCTGGACTTATAGCGATTGTCAATGCCGTGACCCCACAAGTTAAATTAAATAAAAACTTTTTTATGTCATTTACATAATTTAAAATTTGTGGTGAGCCATGCAACTGATAGAAGGTTAAAGAAACTCGATGACAGGGTAATAAGGAACTTTTATAGTTTGTAGTTACTAAATTTTAATATAAAATGAGTACATTAGTCATTTAAAAAATATAAAATAATTTTATTATATTAATTTTACAATTTATAATTTGTTAAAAATATAAATTAGTTTTATTTTTTTTATAAAATATCATTATCAGTTTAACAGGTATTTAAGGCTCAAAGCTGCCATTACGAGGGTTTCTTGGCGAATTCACTGTCCAGAACAGGTTGTCAGACTAGCACCGGAGAGGAAGATGGCAGCTCCTTTTCACTGGACAATTGCTCGCCCAGCAAACGAAGTGCCCGTGACCGAGTGTTAAACCAGTGACACACACTTAAATATTAATGTAAGTTACATGTGTACTACATAAAGATAGTAAAATAATAAAAAATAATGGGTTTACTTATAATGCCAAAAAAAAATTAGACAAAATAAGAAATAAATTATTGGCTAAGTATAAAATAAAAAATTGGCTATAAATATAAAATAGTTATGACATTTATTATAGATTTATTAATAGTTAATCTATATTATCATCACAATAATATTTTTGATGATAATTAATTAAATACTCTGTTAGTGGCTTCATTCCAAGTTGTTGTCTAGTAATAGGTGTATTCTCGTCTTCAATAATCTTTAAAAAATGAAGTACAAAAATGTATATAATAGTATTTTGCATTAAATATGGCGCATGTTAACAATACTAAATCGTATTAAAATAAATATATATATACCAATCTCGATCCGTCTCTCAATAATAATGCTACGTTTCTCCCAGGAATAATTTTAAGGCTGGTATATTTATTTAAATGTTTGCAAATATTTGACATCCATTGCAGAACACGTGACCTGGAACACTTAAATGCAATATCTCGTACTTCATGAAACTATAAAAAAAAAACATAACAGACAGATAAATGAAAGTAAATATTAATAGTTACTGAGTTAGTAGTTTTGTAACAAAATTTACCGTACAACCAAGACCAAGTCCATACATATCGGATCCTAGAATGTCTCTAAGAGAAAATCCTGGACTTATGTAATGTCCGTTTAAATGGATGTTGAATTTATTTATCATTTCATTAAATAACCTCTCAAGAGACCCTATTTTGAATAACAATTTGATGTATTCTGGGTTATCTAAAATAAAATTGTATGCTGATTTTTATACAGATTTAAACTAATTTATCAATAAAAAAATAATACTTATAGTAATTTTATCAATAACAATTTTTACTATTTTGATAAGAAGAATCGCCAATTATTTGTAAAATGAAATTATAATTTACCACTTTATTCACATCTATGCTAAAATATTATTATTAATATTTAATAGTATTATAAAACTAACATAATTTCATGTCTCTTAAAAATAATCTAAACATTTTATATTATTTATATTCTAGTAACAATATATTAAGCAAGTTATACTTACGATTTGGAAATACTGTTTTATAAAGATTTTCAAGACTAATTTTTGTGTTCATCATATTAGAAAACATTTCAGTTTCTATGGTGTACAAGTATGGCAAATCTAATGTTTCTTCGTTTAAATCTTTTTCATTAAGTTCATTGCCCTGAAACAAACAAAAAAAAGGTATTTAAAAACAAATGACTATTTTCTACCATTGAAATAATTTTTAATTACATTTAAAAAACTGAGGAGATCTAACAATATTGTTTTATAGTCATCAGGATGATTATCCCAACAGCTAATTTTATGGTATGTGTCTGAGTACTGTCTCAAACCACCTCCATAACCCCGTGGATAGATTTTCGCTGTAACAAAGATACCAACATATTAGATAAATATAAAAAAGTTATAATTTCTATTTTCAAAAATGTTAAATTCTTTAGTATAACTATTAGGTAAATATATTTTTTATATTTATCAAATATCCCTGCATTAAAACATCATCATCTTGTACAGGCCTTGAAGACAGTGCCAACATGAGATGGTTTCTTAACGAATTCATTAAGCAGAATGTCCCGTCAGTCCATCGTAGAAGAGGGAATGTAGTACTATGGAGGATACTTTTTACCAGATGGTTTCTTGCCTGGCAAACAAAGCGTCGGTGACCCGAATCAGCAACAGTGAGTGCTAAACAAACTAATGCCTTATCCACTCGGCCACTAGTCCTCCTCTCATCATTAAAAAAGTTATCTAATTTACAAATTTTTAAGCTAAAAATATACTATACAATTTATTATCTTTAACTATTTATTTATATTTAATTATTATTGTAAAATAGTTTTGTTGATTATTTTTATATTTTAGTTTTAGATAAGTGAGTTCATTGGGATACTTACCAATACCAACTATCTGATGATAAATACGTGAAAAACCATTTGACAATGTAAATTCCAATGCAGAAATTTCAGCAGGAAAAAAATAACGCTCTTCAAGATGAGAATGACTACTGACGTGTATGAGTATAAATTTTTTATTCAGTAATTCTAAAAAAACAAAAATTAATCAAATAAATATGAATACAGTTCTAAAAACTGCATCACTTTAAGCACTGCTATATTAGTAACAAGTGAATTCTTAAAAAATAAAAATGTGTAATCGCAAATGTGTAACCAATCGTTAATGGTTTTACTTCTGAATGATTCCAGAAAAAGTAATAGTTTAGGAATTGTTTGTACCCGATTCGTTAGATAAAAGTTGGAACATTTTTTTTACGTCTTTGTGCATTGTCCAATACATATCACTATTTTCGTGCCGTTGAATAATTTGTGAGTAACCGCATTCATGATGATTACCATTTTGAGACTTCCATATTTTAGCCATGGCATTAAAATAATTTTCTTTTTGAGTATCAGCTGTAAAAGATAGTATATTATTCATACAATTAATTGTGCTTTTGATTTCCAAATACTTTAGATAAGCGGTATTTAGTCAATGTTATGATTAAAAATAAATGTTAGATTATTTTTAATTTAAAATATATTTTACTATTATATTAATGTGTTCAATAATAATCTTCAGTATTGATTACCAAAGACTTACCAAAGTAAAATTTAAATTTAAAAAAAAATTGTAGCCTCTGTCGTAATCAACATGACCAAGTAAATTTAGTAGAGGTTTTACTCACCTTAACATGTTATCATATTAGCAGTTGTAGAATTTTTGTTTTTCAAAATACATAGATTACAGGTATACAGTTTTATACTAAAATCCATGGAATATTAAAGTATAAATTACTTATTATTCAATCATACATTTAAAAAAAAATTTAATTGTCTTTTACATAAAAGACTATAACTTATTAGTCATAAGACAATGGAAAATATAAAAATTATGCAGTTTATTCTTATAAAATGTAATTTAAATTCAAAATTTTAACTTGATTACTAAAGGCAACAGCCTACAGCAGTGAGCAGATAACTGCTGACGTCTATCAACTAATTACTGTTATAGTGTTATTGTTGTCACTGAATGATGAGGTATCACTTATTTCAGTCCATAGATATATAATAAATATTATATATATATCTGTGTTTCAGTCATTTGTTTGGCTAATGATAACAGTAACCATTAAGCAATTGATAATATGATAACGACTAAACAAAATGGTTATATGACTGATAAGGCGCGCTTTTAACGGTTGTCCTATCTTTATTAAATAAAATAATTACTCAATACTCTGGTTATTTCATTAAGATAATGAAGGATAATATATATAATGGTAATTTCGAGAAAATTTTCAAATAACGAGAGTTTGTACACTTGTTACTGGTTTATGCTCTATAGATAAAATACATCCAGTTCAATTAAGAAATCCGATAAGTATAAGCGGTCCAATGGACCAAATAAAACTGGTATCCGAACTCATGGTTAATTTTTAGTTTTTTTTAACATAAAATCATTAATTTTAGAATATACACATAATCGGGGCTATACACGAAAACGGCAACCGAGTTCATGTGGGATTCCCGCTGGCAACGGAGGTATCCTTGTCATAGTTGATGGACGGGCGGATGGTTAACTATGACGAGGGTACCTCCGTTGACAGCGGAAATCCACATGAAGTCGGTCGCCGTTTTTGTGTATTGCACCGATTATCTATATATTCTAGAATCAGTGGTAAAATGACTAAAATCTAATTTTAGTTTTTAAAACTTTGCAATGAAAAAAATAAGAAATCCGTTTTTTCCTTCAATCGCGTTATTTTTCAACACTTTAAGAAAAATAGGTACATTTTTATAATTACTAAATAGAAGATCGGATACGTGAGCAGAGATGAGCAAAAAGTATCAATTTATTCAAGTATCAATAAGCAAATTTTATTATATAGATCGATTATTCATACTATTATTAGAAATCTCTTAGTAAATATAATTTTCTAATACTAAGGCTGTACAAAATGTAATTATATAAATTATAGATGCATTATGATTTGTGGATGTTGTATAGGCCTTTTGTAACATTGGCGACTTCTATAATATATTAGTTAGCACTTAGCTGATAGTTGTAACTAAGAATCTTAGTTTTATATTTTATGCTTGGATTTAAAACTTGTTTTGTATGAACTACGGATAGATGTGTAATTAACCTAGAGTTTTATCTTATAAATGAGGGGTAGAGGGAAGCAGGTGGATCACATATTTGAAATATTTTGCTTAGGGTTTGAAATATGTTCATCCTAAAAAAAAAATGTGTACGTCTATAGCTGTTTATCCGACTTTTAGAAAATAGCTCACTTGCTCTTTTTTAAGCTTTTAGCTCTGACTTTAGGGGTTGTGAATGGGATATCAAGGGTTTCGAGTACGCACATTGTTTTCGAACAGTCGAACACTATGTTTGCATTGCGAGGCGCTCTCTGGCGATTAACTAATGTCAGCTTATGTGTATTGATCTCGAATGTACAACGGGAGCGCGTCAAGGCCAAAGGCATCGTCGACGTTGTACCGTTATCGTCGTGCCAATGCACGGCCAATAGTAACGAATCCTTCTTACTCACCACCATAACACACAATGGGTCCAATGGCAATGAAACGTTTGTTGAACCACGCCACCTTGTTGTCCCTGATCACTTATTTCTGTTGTCCGGTGACGGGCTGGCCGGCCGACAGCAACTTTTACAACGAGATCAAGCGAGTCGTCTACGGCAACACCGACGACTTACCGCCGCTAGCATTGCCTGTACAAGTAAGCAAAAATATTGTTGCATCCCGCAAACAACCAATTGTTATAGCTTGAATCCACAAATAATCGTCAATACGTTGTTCAGTTTTCAATCACCTCTAAACTTTTGACTTGGCATAATATTTTTTATCTATCGATTTTATATTATGTATATCTATATGTTATGACTGCATTGTAATAAAACAACAATATATTAAAATCATATATAGTCAATATGTGCATATGTTAAAAAACGTATTTATTAAATTAAATAAAACTAAGTAGACTGTTTACTAAGTGTTCTGTGACAAGTTGCCTTATGTCACAGTATACCTTTCATAATTATTTAATACATTTATAAATCATAACTTGCAATTTTTAAATCACTGTTACACGATAAATCGCGTTAATTACCTTATACTATTGAGATTTTGCAAATTATTGAAGTACCTACATTCTCGAGTACTCGGGAAGTTCAAGAAAAACAAAAAAAAACCTTATAGTTATCAATGTATGGAGTGTACGGATTTTGGCAATAATCCGAAAACAAATAGATTTATTTTGATCCGAAAAAAGTAACAGTTAATGTGAAAAATAATTTTTTTTTTTAGTTAGCGAGTAAAATGTGATTTTTGTAAGTTTATCTGAACGTTTGCTAGTGCGATAGGACATTTCAAAGAGAACGAAAAAAAAATGTCCAGGCGTCGAGTAATTCTAGTTAGTCTACTGTAGCAAATTACTTATTTAAAGTATCTTATATAAAATATTTTATTTAGTTAAAAACTACTCAAGTAAGATCGTGTTCCAATTAAAAAACAAAAAATAGTATATATCGCCTAGATTTGCAAGCAGCTATCGATCCGGTTTATTAGTACAGTAATTAGGATTCTTTATTGGTAGTTATGTTTTTATTACGCTATCACAATTCTTGACGACATTTTTTTAATATTTCTTTCACCTAAACACGCAGAATGCTTATTCAATTGTTCAGGTAAAATAAATACGTCAACAAATGCTTATGAAAAAACGTTGTCATGGAGAAATGTTATACAGACGCAAAATTATATGTATATCTTACTTCGCCTATAAAAACTTGTATTGGCGATTACAAATCCAGTTTCCATAAAAAAAAATTTGTAAAATAAAATTGCATATTCCACTTTCTGAATTTTATTTTTAGTACGTTAGTATACTTAAAAGCGTGGAAAATACAGGTATATGATTCAGATTATTTGGCTTGAAGAGCGGACCATACATTTATGGAAACTCAAAAAATCAGGACTTACTCTCCCCCCCGTGTGTTTTCCCATATGTTTTTCCACGATTCTAAGTATTTAGATACCTACTAAACGTCGAATATCCAATTTTCTTTGACAACTTTTTGTACGGTAATTGTTTTTTTAATCGACAATAAAGGTTTGTGATACGAGTAGTACAATATACTTATAATTTTGCGTCTGTACAACATTTTTTTATGACAACGTTTTGTTATTAGCATTTGTTGACGTATAGTATTTTAGGGATTATATTAACGTAACTAAAACTTTATAAAAGTAATTAAACACGTAGGTAGTATATCATAATACCTATAACTAGTAACGCGAGAGTGGTTTAACATTTTGTTGGCGCAAAAATAAACTTCACTTTAAGTTGCTCTAGACCTATCATAAACAAAATAAAAACCCATTCTTCGCAATCAAGTTTTTGAGCTAGAAAATTGGTGGTTATAGAATTCCTATACGACGACGTTTGGTTATAAGCATTTGTTGACATGAATTTGTATTCGATCCCAACTGTTGAAAAAAAAGTACTTAGCTAACCACAGAAATAACCGAATTAGTACTTAACTGTACAAGTTAAGTTGGAGTCACCTATTTCAGTACTTAAAATGGTTTTTAATTACATAAATTTAGTTTGTAGTTTTAGAGTAATTTTTTTTTTATAATTAAAATTAGTTTTATTATGTCTGTAGAATTTCCGTGATAGGCGGGTTTAACCCCCCTCCCCCCATCCTGACTTGTAATTAAAAACTGATGTAACCTATGATGTAGGTACCTACTGTAGTTGTTAGCCTTCATAGTTAATGTATTGTTATACGGGTAATCATACAAATATTGATTTCTTAGTAGTTTTAACTATATTACAAATCGGTTATCAAACGGCCCATTTTTAACTGTACGAGGTTAAATAATATTATTTTATACTCTTTTTGGTAGTTGATAAACTAAAATTATAAGTTGATTACAGGGTATACTATTGTCTTCTGTGAATCTTAATCGAGAAAAGCCAGGGCGTTATGCAAATATATATTAAATTCAATGTAAATGAGAGCCAAAAGATAATCTCTACAGATTATGTCCCACTAGGAGTTGTAGTAATGTACAGAAATAAATGTTAATTTTGTTTGCAATAACAACGCTAGTAATACTATAGTATTAAATGGTAGGAATAAATGACTTTATCATAATTAATGTATCGCTTAACGCGAATAACGGATTTGAAGCTTTAAACGTTATTGTTGTAGTTACTCGTGTGTTCAAATTGATTGGATCCGGTTTTATTCAACTAGAACTAAATACCAATTATACTTAGACCAAGGGCGTTTTTAAAGAAGACGGAGGATAAGATACTAAACCATTTTATTGTTATTGTGCTATGGTTCGTGGGAGTTAATTCTCCTACACACACATTTAAGTCACAATTAGTATTCCAATTACAATATGATATAATAGTATGCAAGTATTGAATATTACAATTTTTGTTGGCTATTTTGCAATATTATACATTTTTAAATCGTCTAGTCAACGTTTTGAGTAGATTATTTTCTTCTGTATTAACATTATACGTTACCATTTTTTTAAAATTTAAATATCTAAAGGAACACTATTTTTATCAAGGAAACCCCGAAAAAATGAAATGGTATTATCCTAAACATGTTTATTGTCTATAAAATGGAAGCATTTGATATTTTGTTAAGCGCTTGTTTAAAAGTGATAATCGCTTTCAGTTATTCTAACTTCTGAAGACTTGTGACATCTTCGTCCTCACTAAGCCCCGAAGTGTTGTCTTTGTTTTGGATTTATGTAATAAAACCTATACTCTATTCGGAATAAGAACAGGGCTGGTTGCGCATGGGCGTGGCTTTGTTCCGAAGCATTGCATCGGCGCGCCTCGACTTGGTAGGAGAAACCTCTTACCCGCCGATCCAGCGCCGACGAAAATCGGACGGCCGCGCCGTGCTGTTCTTATTCCGAATAGAGTATAGCTGCATAATTGTAAACCTTTAACCGCGCATCATACTTTATTAATTAATAGTAGTTAATAATCAAGTTTAAAATTTGTGTTTGTTCGTAATTTGATTACCTATAATAATAATAAATTTTATTTAAAACGTATACAAACGAAAAATTCAAAATGTTGCAAGTTTATTAATAGATTAAGTGGTAAAACAATTGATACCAAAATTAGCGATAAGAATCAGTGGTGTGAAATACAAAAAAGACAATATTATTCCCGTTTCCAAAAATGTTCAAACATTAATTTTATTAATTTGTACGATCGATTAATGAGGACTTGTTTCGTTTTATCGCAGGAGCAAATAAGTATAAACAGACCGATTGAAGTCGAAGGATGGCCAAGGAGTCCGATACCCCGTCTTGGGCAAGTGAGTGGAGTGGCCATGAATACGGTCGGGCAGCCGGTGATTTTTCATCGAGGAAGCCGAGTTTGGGATGAAAGGTAAGACGATTTCTGCGCTCGAATAGCATTGAGTATACGAATATTTCATTTGTGAACTTGTTTCCGCACAGTTCGTTCAACGAAACGTTTCACTATCGGCACGTGCAGGAAGGGCCGATTCTTACCAACACCATTGTCACTCTGAACCCAAAAACCGGAGACGTGTTGTCCAGCTGGGGCGCGGGATTCTTTTACATGCCTCACGGTATCACTATTGATCACCAAGGAAATGTGTGGGTCACCGATGTGGCCATGCATCAAGTTTTTAAGGTATAACAGGCTACATTAACACGTGTACGGACGTGATGTACCGATTGAATGACATGAACGTCAATTCTTTCAGTTTTCACCTGGGGCGAATAGGCCGTCGTTGACGTTTGGCAAAAGATTCGAGAACGGTAAAGGGTACAGGACACTTTGCCAACCGACATCTGTGGCCATTGCCTCGACCGGTGATATATTCATCGCCGACGGATATTGCAATTCCAGAGTTTTGAAATACTCGGCCCGAGGAGAACTCTTGCGTGTATTTCCGCACGCTAACGGTAAGTCATCGAGTAAACAAAATTCAACCAAAAAACATAATCGTATTCCTAGTTGTATAAGATCTTTCTCTACTATCTACGTCCCCACAGACACCTCTTCTGTGGCTCGTTTTGTGATTTTCCTCTTTCGGTTTCCAGTCCATCGTTTGTCTGGTTGCTTATCTTTTGTTCTTTTACGAAGCAATGGTCTGGCATTATTCCCCCATTTCTCTCCGTAACTCACTGTTGAATTTCCTTCTCCACACACCTATATCAAAAACTTGTTCACATAATTTTTTATCCTCCATAGATGAGAGCAGGTTTAATTACTTTTATGTACAATCTCATTTTTGTATAATTTGACAAGAGTTGAAATATTGATAAGGAATAGAGTTAATCTACCTTTACTATTCTCGTCCATATCTCTCGTCATTAGTATTAAGGAGATCAACTCCAATTAGCTGGGAGAAGAAGAAGTTAAAAGATGTTTATGATATTGCGAGACTAACGTTATATATTTTTTTATACCACAAAACCTGCATTATGATTTATGTGCTATTTGTGTTGTACTATTAGAGTTTTTGAGTCTACAAGTGCCGCACAGTTTGGCGTTGCTAGAACAACTAGACATGATTTGCATCGCCGACCGAGAAGACATGAGGGTGGTGTGTAGGGGAGCTGAACTCTCGGATGACAGCAAGGAACAAGCCGCTTTAACAATACAAGAACCGGACTTGGGCCGCGTTTACGCCATAACCAACCACGGTAAGTGGCACGATTTTTTATAATTATTCTACACATATAATGATAAATATGTTGAAATATCATTTTATGTTCGTCAGGCAATATGCTCTACGCTGTCAATGGTCCAACGTCACCTGTAATTCCAGTTAGGGGATTCACTATAAATCCGACGACCGAGACCATTCTTGACCATTGGCCTTTAGCTAAGGACGTAAGTTGTTCGGCGTCGAATAGTTATATCATTATCCGTGTTTAACGGGGTTGTTGATATTTTTGAATATTTTTTAGGGCTTACAAGTGCCGCACGATATAGCTATTTCCAAAGACGGATCATCGTTGTACGTGGCTTCCATTACTCCAAACCGTATTGTAAAATATACCATGACGGCAGTTCCATTGAAAATTGATTAATCAAAATAATAATAATAATATTATAACTCCAACTCTAATTATATATGCTATTTTAAATACACTATTAGAACTCAGTTGCTGTTTAAGATTAATACAATAACGTATATTTGCAGAATCAAATTTGTTAAAACTATGTTATGATATAGAGAATAACTCGTATGTCGTACGCGTTTCCTCGTTAGGTATAATTCTATATAATATCATAATATGATTTCAAATACATATAGTAGTATAGAGAAATGTTTGAATTATTTTGAAGTTTCTATAATTATTATTTACTTGTGTAAACTTATCAAAGTATATTTCCTGCGATTAATTGATTAAATTTTAAGCGTGCCTACAGGGCCTAATTAGTAACTCAATTGGACCAATTTGTAAAATGTTATGTTGACTACTGATTCTTGAACTTAAAACAAGGCAATAAAGAAAATTATAACACTGTAGTCAACATTTAAGCATTGTTTTCTCTAATTTTGTTTGAAATCGTGCGCAAAACTAAAATGCATTTTATTTTTCGTTGATAAAATAATGTTATTGCTTAAACATTTTTCCAAAAAGACAAGTAATCCAAAATATAACTACATTGTCATTACTTTTATGTAAAAGTGATAGTAAAATGTAAATAGAAATACGTGTCATGAGGATAACCAATAGGTGCTTTAAAATTAAATATATATATCTATAGAAATTGTATAAAAAGTGTGAAAGCGACAATTTTTTTTTCTTGGTTCTTTGAAGCTTAATGTGTAACACTATTATTATCATAATATTATAATAATATGATGTAATATATTATAGGTAATTGATATGATAAAAAAATAATTATTAATTTAGTTAACAATAATATTAGCTGATGAATAAAAAACATCATCGAAGGTCATGTCAAACATGATTAAAAGAGGGATTTTTTATTCAAACGTATGAAAGCAATAAGAACACGTTGGAATTTTAATTTTCTTTTTATACATGGTATAACAATTAATTATTAAGGTTATGGTCATTAACTACTATAAAGCTGTCATATTAATTATTGTCTGAGCAGTGTCTTGTATGATATTAAAGATGTATCTGAATTATAGGCGTCGGTCAGGTGAGATTTAAAATGCCATTAGCCATTTTATATCGTTATTATTTTTTTCTTCTAATACCCAGTGACGACGTGCATGTATTTTTTTTAATATTGATGATACCGACACCGCTATTTTTATTAGCGCGCACTAGTCCCACGGATACCCGATATTTAATTAAGTTAATAATTCTGATACAAAATGTGGCTAGCGACGGACACTTCTAACGTTGTTCTTATGATAGTAATAAAATAAAGTTTTATGCCCTTTGTCTGAGCAAAAATATTAACACTACAGTGTGTTAATAAATAATTAATACATTGAACTGTTGCGATCTCCAATTTGCAATTTTATTATGCATAGCTAAGCCGTAAATAGTCGGTATAATGGTTGTAATAAGTTTACAACAGCCAACCGATAACTTCAAAACTAAGAGAATTGTAAAGCACGTCGTATATCATCACATAATATTATGTAAAAATAGTAAATATCTGTTAAATAAGTTGCCTATTCGGTAAGGAATACCGGATAGGCAACTTATAGGCATGTTCGGATTAGACGGCTATTATTGGTTCATATTATGAAGGTATATTTGTCGCATTCATATAATAGACCTTAGGTATAGTCAAAAATCAAAATGGTAGTAATAATTAAATAACAGCTGTTAATTTTGCGTTAAACGTTAGTAATATAAATTGTAATACAATTTAATTCTGTTAAGCCAAAAATGACCATGTAACACGAGTTACAATTTTCATCTGTTCCAAGTTTTTTCGTCATCATTCCGATAATATCTATATAGTGCGGTTACCCTATATGTATACAATGTAAATTGATTACATTTACCGACCAAAAACAAATAGGTACCTACTTGGTACACCACACAAGATGACGTGTACGTATTAAACATTTGTAGTCAAAATAATTAAGCTTTCATGTTTTATACGAACGTGGATTACAAATCTCATATCATATACAATTAATGAAATGACTCTAGTCCATAGAGTATTACTATATGCTCTAGCCTCTCTGATATCAAGATGTTTAATATTTATCATAATGTACCATAATATGGGCTGTGACATACGACATAATTTATATAAACGATGCGACGATGACAACGAAGGGATGACATGTCATTAAAAACATGTGTACTATACTTGTATAACAGTAATAACTATGGCCTAAGGTTTGGGTTAATGACAACATAATATGTATGTCTGCTGATATAATTTATATATATATATATATACAAAGATATATTAAGCGCATGTTAGGAATGTTATCATACGCATAGCTGAGAGAGAAACATAGTTGTATGTCTTGAACTAGCATTTAAATAGAAAATATTTGCTATTGTATATATAATATATAATTATATTAATTATTACCTAAGTATTGTCTGTACTCGTGTTCGTTTATTATATTATTTGTTTATAATGTGCGTGGATTTATATTTATATTTTCGTTTAATTTTACTAGTTTTAATCGATTAATATTTTCTAAACATTTTTGTTAAACCATAACTTATTATTATGTAACCGATTTTGATGATTTTTTGTTACTGTTAGTATTATATTAATAGATAGTCTATCTAGTGATACTATAGAAATGTTAGTACGTAAATAGTAATATTGAATAACGTTTGACATATAAAAAAAAAAATTATAGAAACTTCTAGATTTCAGGAAAACTTTTTGTAGTGTTTGTGTACTATAACTGTAAGGCATTGACTTAAATATATTCAAATTTAAAATATTGTAAATAAATAATAGTTAAACAAAATAAGGAGAAATACAATTCTTACTTAAGAAACCGCAATTGTATATGAATATTAATATGGACAGACTTCAAAAAGTCAAAATAAATCTAGTTTATTACTTTTTAGTGTTTGTTACATGTTGGTTTTGAAAAATACATGTATTTTTATTTAAACAAAATTGTAAATGCATATTTTTACAAAGGTATGTATTTAGTTGTAGAATGTAGGTAGCGTTAAAAAAAAATAACATTTAATATTTTTTATTTAGGTAACATACAGTGTTAGATACGACAGAGATATAACTAATGTGTGTATAGTGTCAAAGTGTGAACCTGCTCCAAAATAATAATAAAAAATAAAAATAATACATATTATATATATATATTATACACGTATCTAGCGCGTGTTGGTATTCCTTGGCCTTATAGTATTTTACACATGCTGAGGCACTCCACCATCATTAATAAGACCATTTTATTGTCCTGTCACACCAGTGCGTACACTATAAAACACTGTACCACTGGCATGTGTGTTTGGCATGTTTTGAATGCGCGTTTCTTATTTTGGAAATGTTCAAGTCGTCCAAGATCCCAACACATTATTTTACCTGATAAAACTAATATATATATATATATATATATATAATATACAAACTACATATTATTATGTAAATATCTTGTGTTTACTGTTTTCAAACATGGCCCGACGCTAACGAGATTCAAGGGTCATAGTACCTGATGACAGGTCAAAACTCATGGGAGATATTTGCATGTATTATAACATAATATAATAGTATAGTATTGAATTTTACTAGCACCAATGCCCGGCCTAAATGAAATATTATGAATTATGATATTATCTTATAAACGTGTGGCTAGTACTATTAAAATCATAAGCTTAACTTTGACTCGCTTTTCTTTTACCATATAGGTACGCAACATAGATAGACTCGTCCTCCCAAATTATCATTTACCATAAGTTTTCCAATAAGTTTCATAGTAAATTCCACAAGTACAAGTGCGTCAACGTATTTTGCCCAAAAACAACCACATCTTACTTGTGGCTCCATTTCTATGTAGGTAATTTTTTTGTCATTTAAATACTTGTAAATATAATGTTTTACTCGCTATACGTTTTTATTCCCCGAAGAGAATCAGAAAAAAAATGTGCTAGTGAGTAATTGAAAAAATCTTACTCAGCCTTTTATGGTAATCGTCAAGAATTCAACGATAACTTTTGTACATTTTTATTATTATTTCAATTAACAAAAATCACTACGCTGCAGTGGGAACAAATATTTTATTGCCTATTAGTAAACAATAAATTCATGACGATTTGGCGCCGACGAATTAACGATTCTCGTTAATTACAATTGAAAACATTTATGATAATATCATGTAATTTGATTTTTTAATATACTCTGTGTCTTTTTATTTCTCGACACGAGACCAACTACCTGTTTCGAGGGCCTTATAATACTTAATTATGATATATACATTTTTTAACAATACATTTATGATTTATATGAACTATAATTTTAATTGGTTCGACTATGTATTTTTCTGGGCAAAATCAACGAATATGTGGCAATTTTATTTGCATTTTCTTGAAATACAAAACCTTTAACTCTATATTTTTGCATATAATACAAAAATGGGGTAATTTTTATAAAAATAGAGTACCTTCCAAGTTAAATTAAACAACATTAACGATAATAACTCTGTGGCTTGGTGCAAGGCCAATGTTAAAATGTTGACAAAACTTGTTTATATAAACACAATACAAATTTTTTAAAATAAAATTATGACAATAGTCATATAAACAAATGTTGTCAACATTTTGAGATTGGCCCTCCTTGCACCAATCTACAGAATTAATAACGCAAAAATATATAGTTATATTTAAACCTATGCATTCAACTATTCTAAGAGAGGTCTCAGATCAATAGGAGTAAAATAGAAACTCTTTGGGAGTTATTTGTCGACCAGTTTAGACTTCTCAAAAGATACCTACGGGATACACGGGATATGTCTGTGTCGTGTAGGATTTAAAACTTTTCTTACAATATTGCGTATTGATTAACGATCTACAGAGTACAACTATAAGAAATAAATTCTTGTGACTAGCTAGATTTTATTTGACGTCTTGCCCATTTCAGTACTTAAATTAAAATCGGTAGGCATAAGAATAATTGTACATGAATAAAATAAGGATTTGGCTAACGACTAGATACGCAGAAGATATTATATAATACTATAAAAGCCAATAGGTACATTTTTATAAATTACTTTTTATGGATTAAACACCAGTGCCCATCATATATCATAAAATAAGGTTTAGTTTGAACGTTAAACAGAAGGTGTTTCATGTACCCACTGTGATTAATGGATTCATGAAGTTTACAAGTATTATATTATAATATAATACATAGATAATGTTATAGAAGAAAAGATAATTATATTCTAGTTAAGGCGTATGACTCATACACCTTAAGAATTTTTTGTTTTGGTTTTGTTAAGTTTTATTAGTAATATCAAAGGTCAAGGGGATCAAAAGCGATTAAGGGTTTAAATTATACAGAGTTTTACACCAAATCCAATTTAGGAATTGTCGG